ATTTTTAACTAGCCTGTGCTCTGCAGTCATCTTTTGGGTTGATAGCCTGTGGTGCTATTGCACAAACGTTTTTATTCTTCATTCTGGCGATGAAGAAATGCTGCGGGCAAAAGAAGGCAGATTGGTTCCATATTTCTGTTGTGGGGAATTTCATTGGAAGTAAGTTAATATTTCAATGATATATAAAAATGTTATCCATTTTATTTCCAAACGAATACTCAGTCTATATCTGTCTTTAATATAACTTATATTTTAACTTTCCTTGCTTACCTGCTCAGCCTTGGGATTTCTGATGGGAACAGTGGTGTATGGCGCGCTAGTGACGTCACGGATTTACTGGTACTTCTGGTTCTGCGTGTTTGCTTGCATCATTTCCGCTGGCCTACTGATGTTTTGGATCGCGACACAGATGTTCAGACGTTACTTAAAAGTCGCCTATCCAGACGATATTATGGTCAATGAATAGTATATATTCATATGTCACATATACCTTTAACTTTATACATTATTATGATTTTTTAATTGTGCTCATATACTTTTTGTCAGAAATCAGTAATAAAGTTTATTTCATTGTCGACATTGTAGTCCCTCAAATGATATGTATATAGCGATTAAATGTGTTGGTAAATACATTGGATATTTTCACATTTTAAATTATACCTTTCTGCTCAAGTTTAGCTCACTTGAGCCGAAAGTTCTAGTGTATTTTGCTGAACAATTGTTTGTTTGTTGTTTAACTTCCCTCTCGAGAATTTTTCACTCATTCACAGGGAAAAATGGTTCGCATGAACTTCATATGAAATTCACACGAATATCATACAAATTTTTCGCAGGAAAAGGAGACGAAAAGGATAACGCATGCTATTCATTTAAAAATAACATGCGATTTTTACATGAAATTCACATGAATATCATGCCAAAAGTAATTCGCATGAAATTCATGCAAAAAAGATCCCAGGTTTCATATGAGTATCATCCGAAGACAATCATATATTTTGTGTACCTCAAAAATAAATTTCAAGCATTTTCAATGAATGCCAAAGCTCACACAGTATTCAATATTATTGACCCGTGGTCATGGGTTTTATGTTAAGATAGGGCTGTGTTGAATCTGTAGTGAAAATGCATAATTTCATAAGTCATCATGACGTACATTTTGGTTGACGTTCTCCGAAAACCCAAAATGCATACTCTGACAAAGTTTGATGATTCTAAGCCAATAAGGTTCTAAAAATAGCCATCAAATTTCAAAAGTAGGTCATAATGACCTAATTTTTGCTTGACATTTTCTTAAGACCCAAGATGCATCACTTGACAAAGTTTGATGATACATGAAATATTTCAATATAGCCATCTAATTTCAAAAGTATCATCCAAAGACAATCATATTTTGATTTTTCAGATATTCTCTGAATCCCAAGATGCATCAACTTACAAAGGTTGATGATTCTAGGCCAGTAAGTACATGAGATACTTAAATATAGCTATAAAATTTCAAAGGTAGGTCACCGTGACCTACTTTTTGATTGACGTTCTCCGAAAACCCAAGATGCATCAACTGACAAAGTTTGATGATCATAGGTCTGAAGGTATTTTAAAAATGCCTTTTAACAATTTGGAAACAAATGCCTACAAATTGTAAAAAGGATGTCACTTTGACCCACTTTTCGATAAAAATGTTTAAAGGCCCCAAGATGCATCAGCTTACAAGGATTGTTGATTTTAAAACCTCTCAGTATCTTAAATAATTGCCTTAAAGGTTTTAGAAGAGATAAGCCACAAAATTCAAAAAGTAGATCGAGTTGACAGCTTAAGATACCGTATCTTAAAAAATAAGTTAAATCTGGTGTTTATTTTGTTGACCCCAAGCCTCCTTAAAGTGTCCAAATATGCATCCAAACCAATTTCAAAACGAATGTCCGCAAAATTCAAAAAGTAGGTCACTGTCACCTACTTTTGCCTTAACCTGATATGATGAATCAACAAACAAAATTTGATTATTCTAGTCTTTATAGTGACATTGAGACCACGCCCTTTGTCCCAGAGTGATGTTGTGAACATTTCTCTTATCTTCAAAGACAAAGAGCATGAGCCACCTTATACATAAAATGGCCCTGTACTTATATCAATTAATTAACTATCACCCTCTTTCCCATTTCTTATATAAAAAAAAGTAGATACTTGGTGCTCTCATTTCCTATAATAAAATTTCGTTTTTGAGAATCCAGATAGTGGAAAACAGGTTTGAGAAATTGCAATATTCTTGAAATTTGCAGAAAACATGCGTATTTGAGTACCTTCAGTAAAGAATTAAAATATGAGCACAGCCCATGATCCAAAAAATAAAACATGTTCTTTGATCTTCAGAAACAGAGCTTTCATTATGTATTTGCATATTTGGATCAGAGGTTGTGCTCTATATGAAATATTGAAAAAAAGCTTCAACTTTAGGTCATTTTCAAATGAATTTACAGGATATGAGGAAAATGACGCATTTTATGACGTCATAATGCATTGACTAGATGGAAAATTACGTCATAATTAATAGATATGTAGTCACCAACACTCCAAGTGATAAATACTGCATTTGCAACCTAAATTGATCGGTTTTGATTTTTCAGAAATTCTCAGGGCCAAATATGGGCCAAAGTGGCTCTACTTTGACAATAATTGGCCCATATTCTGAAAAGTTTACGCACACTGCACACTCCACACCGCACAAATGGCCAATGAAGATTTGGCTCAGAAGAGCTAAAAAAGGAATTTAAAACACATATGCAGGCAAAGAAAATAAACATTCTTAGGGTCAATACAAAAATGAATAATAAAGTGTTAATTTTTAAAATCATACAGAGAAAACATTGTAATATAACAATTTAAAAATAGTGTAGGTGTACATAAAATTTGTTAACTATACATGATTCACCTCATGTACACTAATAATAATTCAACATCCACATCCACCTCACTTCACGTGAATACCCCAATACATGTAGATATAAAATTTTCTTATTTTACTTTCTGGATTTTGATACAAGTATTGTGAAACATGATATCAAATTACATGCAGAACCATCCTTGAAATAAGTCAGTAATTTATGTATGGACATTTGATATTCTGTTTTAAAGAGAAGGATAACACATTTTAAAATAAATGAATAAAATAATCATAATACATTTACATCAAATTTTGTCAATATCCCATTGTATATACAAACTTCCTTCCCCTTAATGATATTTGAAACTGTAAAGCTTCTACATGCTCTTCATCAATTTGCACTTATATTTCTAAACCAGTGGTTTCTGTGGGGTTATTTTCATTATATTCTGTATTCTCATCCGTGTTACAGTTTGTATACCATGGTACGGTATTTGTTTAAGGGATTGCTTATATGAGAATAGAGCAGAGTGTACGTCCCCTGTGATCTGTTGACATATGCCAAGGATCTGCCATGATATGTCTTTGAGTCCTTCAGGTATAGCCCCACCATGCTCTAAGTGGACCAAGTTCTGTAGAATATGTAGAGCTCCCTGTGACTGCATTGGATCGGTATGAATGGAACACAGGGTCTCTAGCATGTATATCATTACTAAAGTGGGAATAATCAGAACGTTATCTCCATTCTTTACTCCAGACTGTTCTGGCAATAATTCATTCATGTAAGCGATGTCTTTGTGGAGGGCCATGTTCTGTGTTGTATAGATTCCCTGTCTCAATTTTTTACACACAGAATGCTTCACGAAAGCATGATTATACCTCTCGTGGTTTTTATGACTTTTGTGCACCAAATATGTTTGTCCAACTGCTAATTTTACTTTCAATATTTGAAGAAATGACAAAGCTTTTAAGTATCTGGATGTCCGGTAAAAATACATAGCTATGTACAACATGTCAGAAATACAACCAAACTTGGCTGCTAATCTCAACATGTGACAAATCATTTTGTCTGCTGTATACATCAGTTTGTTGGGATGTGTGTTAGCCCACCTGTTGAAGAATAAAAATGCAGCTGTGTAAAGGAAGTAGGTAGTGTTTTTCTGTAAATAGAAAACTTTATAGTGTGTCAAGGATTTGCCCATCAAATGCTCTACTGTTTCAAAATACTTAATGCAAGAACGTAGTTTTTTTGTCTGTAGCACATTATATCTAAACGTTTCAACAAAGAGTTCTTCTTCAAGTTCTTCCAGTGAGATAAGTTTGTATTCATCTGTACAGATAAACTGCCTAGGATTATGGAGGACCTTCATAACATAGGGGCTAATGGTGGAACTGAAAAGCAGGCATTTTAATCCCCTTTCATACAATTCATACAGTCGGTGAAATAAAAGCATCTGAGCTTTACCATGGATCTTATTCAGAAACATATTATTTTTTGGAATAAAAAAATTAGGACAAGCGCCCTCGTAAACCCATTTAAGGAGAAGTTTAAAGCAGATCCAGAAACACCTTGACAGATTTTGTGAATTCCAGTGAGGTATTGTGTTATGTTGAATTGACCAGAAAACTGACGTCTTCATGTGATAGGAACATAGTAATTTATCCTGATCGTCAATTCCTTTGTTAATTACTTCTTTAAGGAATATTTTTAGCAAACCGTAAGTTAAGAATTGACAGTGGTTCATGGAATCGACAAGTTTTTGTTCTGCCTGAGAAAAAGAAATTCTCCATTCATGGTCTTCATGATTTCCTAATTTGTGTCCTATAGGTACAAAGTGGCATCCATTTCTAACTATTTCATGAACAATCTGAGGTTTAGGCCAGAAACGGCATCTATCTATCCACGAGTTGGCAGATGGAGGCCAAAAGTCGCATTGGAAACAGAAGGCATAATCAAATTCTGTTATTCCCCTGTAGCCACCTCCACAGGGTCCATGTTTAGTAAATGTTGGAGGTAGTGATAAACAAAGGAATTGTCTGTATTTAGAACTGGATATGTAAAGATTCTCATTCATTCTGACCCATATTGGCAGAATTTCTAATCCATATGGTGGCATCATTAACTTAAGTAGCGTGTATCCAGGAAGACTGTCAGAACAATCACACAGAATTAGTGTTTTTCTATTACTAAAGTAATTCTGGGCTTGCTCTAAGTCCCATAATACTTTAAAAAATGTAAACCAGAACATCAGGTCAAAATCGGATCCCTCCAGTCTGAATCCTTCTCTAGAACTTCCACTTCGCATTGCTGTGTAGCTGCCAATTGTTGTTAGTTGATTTCTCACAATGTCTTCGATGTCCTCTACTTCTCTCCTTATGTTGATCTGCATAGAAGTACCTACTTTACGACACAGTCCAGCAAAGAGCGATTCTGACATTCTGACATTATCACTGGAAAAACACATCAAAGTACTGAGTATGTTAAATAAATCTTAATGATAGCATATGTATACAATGTATATCTCGGTAATATGTTGCATTTAAAAATTATAATTACAGGTTTCATAGTAAAATCTAATTTTTAGTTAACATAAAGGAATCATAAAACAACATATAATTTAAATTATCATGATTGCTTTGCTTAAATTGGAAAAAGTTGTTAATTAGATACTAGTATTATTTAAACATATTTAAGAAGAGAGTTTTTTTCTACTTTCGTATTAGTTCTAGTAATTATAATTACACTTACACCAGTGATGGAGAGCAGGAAGCCATTTCCAACATAAAAATATGGAGTGGAGCCGTAATCTAAAACGTAAGAACACAGTTTTTAGGGTATTAGGCACCATTAAGAAAATGAGACTGAAGTGACACGTGTTAGATGTTTTACTAGTAAAGGTAGCAAACGTGAAAATACTGAAGACCTTTCAAATGTAGGTGAAAGGTAACAGTTGAGGCCACATAATCAAAAAGAAGATGGAGGATTAAGGTGGGAAGTCCCGAGGACTGCTTTCTGGGACTACTAGGGTGTCAGGTTGGGTTAGGTTGGTACTGTACCAACTCGTATTTATATCTCAATAGTTGTATTAAAACTGTGACTTTTTTCTTACTAGGTTTCCTTAATCACTCAGGTGACCTATTGCTATCTGCTTTTGTCTGTCGCCGTGCGTTGTGTTCACACCTGAACATTTTCAGCTTCTTTTCTGAAACCCTATGGCAAGCCCTTTTACTATCTATTCGTGAAAAAAACGAATTATTTCAGCAAGAGAGATATCTCTTTAGCTTTTAGAGATATCTTTTAGACTAATAGAGATATCTCTATACCTTAGAGAGACATCTCTTTAAACAAAAGATACGAGTAGATCTGTTTTTGTGAGAGAGATATCTCTTTTACTTAGAGAGATATCTTTATAAGTTAGAGAGATATCTCTTTAAGAGAAAGAGATATCTCTAAAAGCTAGAGAGATATCCTTTTAACAGGGTCAAAAGAGATATCTTTCTTAGTTAGAGAGATATCTCTTTAGATTTTCAAGAAGAGATTTCTTTCTGCGCTAAAGAGATATCTCTTTTCCAATTATCGTTAAAATAGGGTTAGGGTTAGGGTTAGGGTTAGTTAATTATTTCTCCCCTTTTAAACAAAAGCGAAACAGGAAGTAAAGTCTAATAATTTTGCTATAAGAAAAAAGTCTGAGCATGCAATACCTAGAATAATATATGTTCTATGTAGACTAAATTACTATAAATCCCTTGTTTGAAACTAAATAAATAATAATGGTCACTTCGTTGATAAAAATGCAAAATTTTAACATTCAGAAAAACGAAAATAAGCTTAAAGTCTCAAATGCAATGGACCGAATTTTCTCATTTTATGATATAACAAACGATTACGAAATCTAGACAACACTGAATTACTCTCTTAAAAATAAGAGATATCTGTTTAAGTTGGGGGATATCTCTAATTTTTAAGAGATATCTCTAAAATGAGAGATATCTCTGAAATTTAAAGATAAATTTTATTTTCTGAATAAATAGCAAAAGGGCTTGCCATAGAAACCGTTAAACCAAATGCAACCAATTTTTGCATATAGCAACTATGGGTGAAAGGAAACAAACCTGTGAATTTCATGGGATCTACCTCCCTGGGGCCTGAGTAGTAGGCCAAAAACCGTCAAAATTTATATTGTTTTAGAGAGAGAGAGTAAATGAATGAAATACTCGTTTAAACTAGTACCATCGTGTGGAATGTGTCTGTCCGTCCTTCCGTCTTTCTGTCTGTCTGTTAACTATTTCGTTTGACTTTCATTTGATAGAAATATCATTCTCGGGCGTGTCTTAGTAATTCAATATGGTGTTGGAATGCACTATAATTCAATTTTAAATGTCTACGTACACTTTTGGAGGATATACAGAGTGTACATATCTCATCTATAGATCCAAAGACAAAAATTCAAATTGGTTTCACTGAAATTGATACTGTTGTACAAATGAATGATGGCTTGTATATATCTACCTTAATTAGAACTGTAAGAAAATGTAAATTAAAACTCCAGATGACCGCACAGAGACCTGTGAAATTGGGTAAAAATTGTCATCGTCTACTGGAAGTTTATGATCTTCATCACGGCTGTTTAACTTTAAATCCAAATACCCTTGTTTGTCATGCAGATAGGAATCTTAAAGCCTCAATGTAAATGTCGTCGTAGCCGAGGCGGAAGCTATTAAAAATCAAATCACGCAATTTCCACTCCGGATTCTTTGTTCCCTTTGCTCGAAAAATATTTCTAGCACCCCGGCTATCTTGATGTCAAGGTATGGGAGAGTTTCAAAATTTAGCTCAAAAGTTACGATCAGTTCCAACTTTACCTTTTCCTCCTTCATTCAAAAGTAAAGGAATTTACACTTCATGCACTGACTGCACTCGGAGCCCCTCGGGTGGCTTGTATCTCTCTCACTTACCTCCGACCTAAACGGCCTTCTACCATATTGCCTACCTATACAGTTACAGTTGTGATCTTATTTGAAATTCATTAAAATGTTATACCTTTGAGTTACTTTTGTGCCATGCTTAAATAAAAACCAATACTAGCATACATAACAAGGAAGACTTAGACATGTTAAAATGCCAAATCACTTTCTGATATAATATTTTGAAAGAATATTATCTTATTACCTCGTTTTTTTGGTAACTTTAATACACTTGATACGAAAGCCTAGAAGGGTCAAATAAAAAATGAAAATAAGAATGAATAAGTCGAAATAACGACTTTTTATCTCGTAATATCGACTTTTTATCTCGTTATTACGAATTTTTTTTCGTTATAATGACTTTCTTAAGTCTCGAGATAAAAAAAGTCGTTGTTACGAGATAAAAAGTTGTTTTACGACTTAATCTTTTTTTCTTCATTTTGTAATTTGATCCTTGTAGGCTTTCGTACATATACTTGCTTATATATTCAATGTAAATTCAGGGCAGTCTTCTTCGTTTCAATTCAAAATGTCTACATCTCATCTATAGATCAAAATTGGCCGCTCTGAAAATTAATTATACTAATGTCAGTATTGTTATACAAATGGATGATGACTTGTATATATAGGATCTCCCATGGTTTGTGGTTTGATAGGATTTTTATCCAACGAGCTGTGTGTTTTCTATCCCCGAGCCTTGGCGAGGGGATAGAAAACACACAACGAGTTGGATAAAAATCATATCAAACCACAAACCATGGGAGATTCTTTTTATCACATATTTTTGTTCACTGTAAATGTGTATTTTGTCTTTATTCCTAATTCAAAGTTCCCTTTCGGTTACCTCGGACCAACTAAACGTAATGAATAATATTACGTTGTATGAAATAGTTTGTACAAATATAAAAGAAAGAAAGTATTTCAGCACTTCTTTTTTTATATTCATGAATGAAAATTTTTCAAATATATCAAATTATGTGAAATTTTACAAATTAAGTCATTCTCTCCATCATACATATGTATTTGTTTATTTACATTACGTCACGCGGCGTAGGAACACATCGTGTTGACACGAAAACGATATCACATGAGCTATATCAACGGGATAAAGGTGAAAATATGTGATAAATACATGTATCTACCTTAATTAGAACTGTAAGAAAATGCAAATTAAAACTCCAGATGACGGCGCAGAGAACTGTGAAATTGGGTAATAAATGTCATAGTCTACCAGAAGTTTATGGTTTTGATCACGGCTGATTAACTTTAAATCCAAGTGTCCTTGTTTGTAATGGAGTGACAGCTTTACCCAAAGGCAAACGATGATGGTGATAGAACATGGCGGATGTGACCGGTCGGCGGGGAATGCTCACTCCTTCATTGCACCCGATCACCTTTGATGTTTTAGAAGCCTGTCTTTGCTACACTCTTAAAAAGTTTTACTTAGCAATTTTTTACTTGAAATAACAAAGATAAGTAATAGATAACTACTAAGCATCGGTTGTATACTATAGTTTACGGACTGTATTTCTATATAGTTAAATAGGTTAATCTATATTTTACATCTGTAAATCGTAGTAAATGCGTTAATCTATGTTTCAGAACTGTAAACTATACTTAACACTGAAAATGATTATCTGGATTGCAAAAATAGATTACCTGATAAATACAGTTTCACGATTTGTAAACTATATGGTTTACAATTCTTAACTATACCGTAGTTAACAATCTGATAAATTTAGTTTTTTGATTTGTGAAACTATGATTAACAACTCTTAACTATAGTTCACGATTGTAAATTATAGTTTACAGACGTGAATCTATGTTTATCAACAAAATCTATTGTTAACGTTTAATTATATACGGATATTAAACTTATTTAAGCATTCGTAAACTATAGTTGACAACCGTTAAATGTACTTTTACAGATGAGAACTATAGTCAACGAATTATTAACTATAGTTCACGGTTTGTAAACTATAGTTTACAGTCGATAAACCTAGTTTATCAACAGTGAAACTGTGATTAGCTCATTTTTTGTAAATTTGGCGTGCCACAGGTGTGTTATTAATTTTTTCAAAGTAAATATATGGCACGCCAAATTCACAAAAATGAGCTAATCACAGTTTCACAGTCGATATACGTATTTCAGCTACATTCAGTCAGCTCAAAGAACTTTTGCAGTCTTTATATAGCACAATTGAGTGTTTTTTGTTTTTTGTTTTTGTTTTTTTGGGGCTATTTTTGGACGGGTATCCTTTTGCACTGATCAACCTTACATTTTTTGTAGAAGGAAACTTTCCGATGAGAGAGAATAAGTGGTCATTATGACTTTAACCATGTTAACAGGGTTTTAAAACTAGTCCAAGAAAGAATCTATGAGGTATATATATATCTTTTTCTTATTTTAGGAAAAGCTTTATTAGTGAAAATTGTACTATAATTAAAATCACTGCAATCAAATAATCACAAATGCCATTATTGATCAGCTGTTTATTAAATATTGTAAACAAATAGATATAAAACTGAGGAAACTAAACTTGTATATGTGAAAATTTTATAAAAGGATATCAATTATATTTTATTATCATTGCACCGTGAAACTAAAAGTGTGTTTTAAACTGATAGGCATTACCTATTGACCTAGTGAAGCCAACAAACATTTAACATGCAGTCACCTTACCAGTAACGAAGAAATCAAGAAAATGATTATTGAACTGCTGGATACATGTATGAAGCGCAGCCCCTGGATATTTAATGAATTTTGAGAAATGAAGGAATGCAGGTAGAAAAAAAGACTAAAACTATTAGTTCTTTATAATGATTTAAAACTGTAGCTGGTGTTTATAATGAAATTAAGATCTAGAAAAGAGTCTACTCACTGTACATGCAGATAGTAAATATTCATATAACTGTGTTCAAATACTTAATCATGTATTATTTTGCCACCAATTGTCAAAAGATGGTCTTTTTTTAACATGTTATGACAACTACAGAGTCTCATATTTTTATTATGACAAACATCAATTTACATTGAAATATCAAGACAGAAAATAAAATTGTTTTGGAACTTGAGCGTTTTGAGAATATACATAGTCACAATAAACTCTATTTACTAATCAAAGATGGTGCACAAAATTTCACTTAAAGAAGCTTTTAGATATAAATTTCTATTGAAAGACAGTTTTTTTGAGGTCATATTTTAATCCTGCTCAAACAATGCTCATTTAAAGATAATTCAACTTCAAGATTTCACTTGAAAGTTTAAACAAACAAAAAATGAAAGGTAAAATAATTTTGATGTATTGCTTTTTCACTTTTCGCAAATATAACCGCCGAGATATGAATCATGGTCACAAAAGACGTCATGAAAAATGTATCGTTCTGCTGCATAAAAGAACATGCAGTCTTGTGGGGCAGAATCTGACCCATCAGGCTGAGAGGAACCAAAAGCGAAATACGTCATTTCCTTCATTTGTCCATTTCTGATCCACCTCCAGTCCCCTCCTGGTTTTCTTCTGTTTATGTTTCTCCCACCGACGTAAAAATGGAGACCTGTAAAGATGAAACTTTTGGGACATATTTTGCCTTTTAAACCAAATGTACCGAATTATGATCGTAATAGTTAAGAAACATTTCTTTATAAAATGCTGGACAGTCTTGTTTGCCTTTAATTTGATAAATTCACATTTCTATTCAAATATAAACTGGTGCATTTATTTCCAAAACTTATCTGATTCTGAATTTTTATCAATTGTACTCTTTGTTATGTATTACTATCAACAAAGACAAAATTTTATCTTTCGAAATTAAACTTAATTTCACAGATTTTAAGAAATCGTCACTTGTACTCTTATACTTACCTGATTTCATTTCATTTAATTTTTGTTTCATCAACATTGCTTCCTCAAGTGTCTCAAAATTGGCGAGATATGCCCCCATACGACTACAGCGGGCCTAGAAATCCATTAAAATGAAATTAATTTTAACTTTAAAAATGTGTTTTGCTGATCGGTTTTACTACATTACTTTGTTAACGAAAAAATGCAAATTGTTATTAACGTCAAATAAGACATACTAGTATATGGAAATAACGAACAGTATGCAATCGCAAAGGTCCATTTATCAAACCTAATCAGAATAAACATGAACCTCCAAAAACTATATACATAAACAAAATTATTTTTTTTTAAAAGAATACAATATTTATTACCTACGGAACTATTTGAAGCGGAAGAACCATAACATTGCCCTATTGGAGTCGCTCATAACACTTTAAATAGTGTTTCAAACATGGAACGAACTGTTCAACAAAAGTCTGCAAGTGAACAAAGTGTTCCTATTCAGTGTTCACTTTCGTTTCATATATACTCAACAAAAAAAGAAACGCATATTCAGAATAATATGAAAATTTAAGTTTTAAGTTTAAGCCTTATTTTATTTAAGTGATTTTAGAGTGTGTTGTGATAAAAATCAAACATGTCCTATGTTGCAAATAGAAAAGTCAAGTTGATGCCATTTTCATCGCCCCCAAATTCAAGGGACGTAACAATATGTACTGTGCGACGTTTCAATGCTAGTGAGTTTCCAATGTACGGATATCCTGGAGGAATACCATCTCTTTTCAGTCTCTTGCGAACAATTTATGCACTTTTATGCTGATTTTTTCATCTAGGAATTGAAGCAGCAGTTTTACAGCAAGTTATGAATCGCTTCAGGTGCTGAAGGGGGGGGGGGGTGTCTGACGGTCCTGCCTGGTTGTGGTTACCTGCGGATGGCCAGATAATGGTCTTCAGACGTTAGTTTAACGGTTGCAAACCCCATTGATTTATTCCAAATACAGTTGCAACTTCCTGTTGCTTAGCTCCGTTTAGTATCATCGTTAGCCTGGTTGTGTTCATCTTTGTTTCGGCGTGGCATTGCAGCATCAACTCTGCAATCAAATCTTAAATATGGGTTTGATAGGAGTGTTAATAGTTTCTCTAAATCCAAAATATCAACGAAAATAGACATCCGATTTAGAAGAATTCACGAAAATTACTACTTTCATAAACATGTTTAATCAAGGGAGATAATTCAACATTTGGGTTTTAAAACCCCATGTTGTCCTTTAAATAGGTCACAGGTATCCAATGATATGAAAAATAGTTGTTCCATGTACATTTTAAAAATTGTCTTTGAAAAAACAATATGCGTTTCTTTTTTTGTTGAGTATATATATGGTTGATACAATGTATCTCATATGTGTCATCAGAAGAAGAATGATTTTGTTAGCAAGAACAATCTATCAATAAACCGAATACCGACTGATTTTTTTCCCAATCCAGTTGATACGCAATTTATTTACAAACTGAACTGCCTAAGGTTTTCCCGATCATTAAAATAGGCAAAGGAGGGGGGGGGGTGAACGGTCGACAAGGGATGCTTATTCCTCCCTAGCACCTGATTCCACCTTTAGTGTTTTAGCAATCCGTGTCTGTTTCGTTCCAAAATTGTTTTCAGGGGATTTTGAGCTGAAATAATGTTCGTAGTCCCCATATTTCACCATGTACTTTTTATTTTGTAAAACAAATAAGTGTTGATAATACCAACCAGAATTCGAAGCTTCGGAAATTGAAACATTCAGACTTGTGAAAGATGGAGAAAATATATAAGTACGAATTCTGAAGTGTTGTAAAATTTTTACTTACAAATGCCTCGTCTCCGGACACCTTGTCTCTGCTGATGTGATAACAGTTGCCCTCGTAAATTTGAAAAGGAGGTGTACATATGTAAGCTGTGAGTAAGTAAATTATTTTTTTATAATTAATGTTTTGACACACATCCTTTTGATAAAGAAATGTCTTACTCAACTTTATGTTTACAAAAAGTTTTGAAATATTTTTCTTTCCTTTCTTGTAATTAAAGTGATAGTAAAACTCGGTTATAACGAAGTCGCTGGGGCATATGAAAATACTTTGCTACATACTGTATATACGTATAAGAAATTCATTAAATTGCTAAATAGCTGCTGATCCAAGATGGCTTCGTTATATCCGTGAATTATCCGTGAATTCGCAATATCCTTGTTAATACTAACCGAGTTTTACTGTATATACGTTTACATAATATTTAGTTTAATAATTTTATCTTAAGCTTAATTCAAAATAAAGTTTTTCCAACATTTAATAGTTTTATCTCCCTCAGCTACTTACATTGCTTCTCTGGACAACCTAACCCAACTGTAAAACACAGCAAAAACACAACAAATAACTCAGACTTCATCCTGAATACAGGCATCAAGAATAGAAACCTGAGTTATATAACGTTAAATGAATAAAAACAGAAAACGTGCTGCATACATTTGATTGAGTAATGTGACAAAACAACCTGGTTATGTGAAATTAAAAAATAAACCAATTTAAAAAAATCGACTGAAACAACACGATTGAATCTAGCTGCAGGTACTACATTGGTATGGTTCATGTATTCTTCCCAATATGTATGTATGAAGGATATGGAGATAACGAAAAGTATTCAATATCAAAGCTCATAAAACAATAAAAATTGGAGCTGGGCAAACAGGACCTCCGAAAACATCAGAGGTGGGATCAGGTGCCATAGAGGAGTGAGCATCCCCTGCTGACCGGTCACACCCTTTGTGTGTTTATTGTCATGAGCGAGAAACAACGGACAAAACCCGTCGTCAATTCAGTGTTTAAGTAATAAACTAACAATTAGTATGAAAAACGTCAGTCAATAATAAATTGTATTTGCTGACAGGGTCATTGTATCGACCATAAAACTTATTTGTCAATAATTCACGTTGTTTTAGAAATTGTTCATAAATAGAGCATGCTGTTGAGTATCGAATCAACTGAGATATATAAACCCCGTATGCAGGTGATGAATGTATAATTATTGCTGCATAAGTAAGAGAAGTTGACGATAGAAAATTTAAAGTCATCACGTTTATCATAAAGTTTGGTTGTTAGATTACCATAAACGTCTTTTTCAAGTAAAATATCCAGGTAAGAAACAGATATGTCAGACTCCCTGATATCTTTTATCTCAAGCTCATCAGGATATATCGTAAAGAAAAGGGTAGGAAATTACCATTGTTAAGTGACAATACGTCGTCGATATATCTAAATGTCGAGTTGAATGCCACAGCAAGTGTTTTCTTCTTTTCACGCATTTATTAAGATTTTGTATAAATTCTGCTTCATATGAATACAAAAAAAAGTCTGCTAATAACGGAGCGCAATTGGTACCCATAGAAATTCCAATAGATTGTTGGAAGACCTGGTTTCCAAAAACCACGTAGAAATTGTCAGGGTTAGGGTTATCAGAAATTCAAGCATCTTTTTGATGTTATCGTCAGAGTAATTGTGTGTGCAATCGGAATGTGTTTCAACAAAATAATTTTGCAAATGACCAGGTAAAAAAAATTACGAGTTCCTTTTTTATTGAAAAAGCAGCTGTCAATAATATCAAAAAGCTTTGACTTTCATTTATCATTGGGAATGGTTGTGTATAATGTTGAAAAGTAAGTTTTTAAGCTGTTGATTTTAGTAAAATCTTGTGATTTCAAATTGTCCAAAAGTTCTTTAATTTTTTGAGTATCAACATCTGATTCACAACACTTCTGGAATACATATATATTGTTGCACAGTACTCTTTTTCCTTCACTACTGTCAAGTGATGAGCAAAGAAAGAGGATAGGTTGAACATTTGTTGGAACCTGCAATGTATCTTTGTTTGTAAGACTATAAACTTTCGCGTCAGAGGCAATCCAAAATCACATATATTTCTCGCTCGGGAGAAAAATGATTCATGCTATGGATATCATTATGATAATGTTTTGCTGAGTGTGTATTTTATATTTTGCTGTGGGTGTTTTAATAATTGATTATGACGAGGAGGTTTTACATTTTATAGTAGTGATGTATTATGATCACACGAGTTTACCGTATTTGCTGTGGGGTATCATTATGATAATGTTTTAAATGTTTAGAGACCAGAAACCTGTTCGTCTTTTTGTTAGGATCCTCAATAAAATATTTAAGAATTGCTAAAATAACATCATTACCCCCGTTTGAAAAGCAGGAGGGTATATAGTAATCGTCTGTGAGTCCGTCTGTCCGTCTGTTACACTTTGGAGCACCCATCTCTTATCCGCAACTCTTCTAATACCATTTAATGAAATTAGATGAAACTTTCCTAGAATCTTTATTACATATTGCCAGTGTGCACCTCCTATTGTACTTTTTCATCCGACATATATTTTGGGTTTCCCACAGCAGAACATGGACACTGCCTTTATATTCATATGGGAGGAGGGGGTAGCATTTAGTAAGCTCATTGCACGCAGTACCTGTAGCTTTCAAAGACTTTTCTACATTTCATACAACAATTGCTCACGATAAATTAAAATCTGAGCATTTTGATCATATGCACTTATATATATTTACACCGCGATATGGCAATTTTAGATGTATTGGACATTGACAAAATAAACTTTATCATTTATTCACAGACCAAACAAAATGAATAACATTTTTGAAATTTCACAGTTTGGTTACTTTTGATAATATTTTCCATGTACTTGGCTAAAAAAATCTCTAAGGGAGAAAAAGAAAAAAAAATATTTTTAAAAAATATAAAAGGATGATGGATTTCCTCATTGACAACATTCAAGTAGTTCTTGGAGAATATGTTTCCCAATAAACTGTAAGATATCCGATTGACAGTAATTTTACGCCTTTTTAACCTGTCCTAGGTCTATTTTTATAATTCCTATGAGTCGCCCGCGGGGCGCAAAGGTTAGCGTCTGCTCTAGCGTCGCGAAGTAAAAAGTTGATCCTTTAGTTGCGGGTCTGAATCCCACTGTGGGACTTCGAGACCGGTCCTTCGGATGAGACCGAATAAACCGAGGTCCCGTGTCGCAATAGGTGCTGGCACGAAAAAGATCCCTTCCTGCTCAATGGCCATGAGTACCGAGTATAGGACGAAATTTACAGCTCTCCACTTGCAAGTGGTGGTGTCTCCATATGAGTGAAAAATTCTCGAGAGGGACGTTAAACAATATACAATCAATCAATCATATAATTCCTATGAAGCGGAATTTATTAAAAACACTTCTACAAGAGAATAGGAATGTACTATAGCTGTCGTCTTCAATTCGATATTTTTATGTATATTTATCAATTAACAGTAGTTATTTTTATTCGTATTTTTATTCGTATGTAGATTAAATATATTCCAGTGAACTTGAAATAAAGGACATCAAAGTCTGTAAAATTTGTTAAGTGTTCAAACGGGATGACTTCATCTTTTCTATCGTTTACTTTCCTTATTTATGTAGTAAATGTATGGAGAACAGAATCCAAGAAAAAATTTCTATATAAAATTGGAGCAGAGCAAAGACATACCTAAAAAAAGAATTAGAAGTGGGATCAGTGCTATGGAGGAGTGGGCCTCCCCTGGTAACCGGTCACGCCCGCCATTTTCTTCTTGCAATGATCAGGAAATTCAAGGTGATTATAATGGTGTAACAATTAGTATGAAAGACGTAATATTTCACACTAACCTTCTTATATAATTAAAAAATCTCCTGAAATATTCGCTACTCAAGGGAAACTCTGAGTTCAATCATTTTTGGAAGTGAGGTACGCTACTGAATGACAGGTTGATGTTACAGGGATATCATATTGTTCCTTGTGATTAATTTATGAACCGAAAAGTCCGTAGATGATTCTTTGTGAAAATCATTGCAACACAGTTTTATAAAATACATCAGTTAGCATAAAGAATAACAGCAGGATGTATATAGGAAATAAAACCGTGGGCGTACTTATTATAGAAAACCAAAGGATTAAGCATCCCTTGTTGACCAAACACCTGCCTTGAGCCTGTTTATTGATCTGACTGAACAATCCTTGTCAACTGCATTGTAAGAACAGAGGTATAACGATTGATGTGAAATGAATCAGCCAAAATACTCGTAATAAAATAAGCTCATATGAATTGACTGCTTAAAACTTCAACAATTACTAGATAAAACCAGTGACGTATAACAAGCTTGTTATACGTCACTGATAAAACGAACTTAAGCTTAGCTAGTGTTTGTAAACTGCTTAAAACGTCGGTAATTCCTACATAAAACAACTAAAGCTTAACTACTTTTTGTGAAATAATTACTTACAAATGCCTCGTCTCCTGACACCTTGTCTGTACTGATGTTGTAACAGTTGCCCTCATGAATTTCAAACGGAGGTGAGCACACAATAGCTGTCAATAAGAAAATGATGTGTATTCGGATTTCATAGAATTTTAATTCAACGGACAGAGCTAATGTAAGCTTGAACAAAAAGATTCGACAATAGCTACTTTATACATTTTTCAAAAAAAATGTGAAAGGATGTAGTATATTTGATACAGCAGACACTGATATAATACGTGTTTCTAACTTTAGTTACACTTAAGTTCAGCACAAAGGATATGGAGATAACGAACAGTATTCAATATCAAAGTCCATAAAACAATACATAATGGGAGCAGAGCAAACATAGACCTCCAAAACATCAGAAGTGGGATCAGGTGCAGTGGAGAAGTGAGTAAAAAAAGCTTTCAGAAGCTGAAATGTGGCTGCTTAATTTTTCTTCTCTAAATTGCGCAGTTCATGTTCAGACGCATTGTGTCGGTGGAACAAGGTAAAGTTATAAATTGCATGGTTTATTAGTAATGAAAATGTAAAATATACCAAAATATAAATCAAGCTAATAAATAGCAGTAAATGTCCAAATCAATTGTAAATTTTCTATTTATCTTGCTTTTCAGAACATCCAAACACAGCTGTAACACACAACCAACACACCACATCTAACAAAGCCTTCATCCTGAATGTAAGCATCAAGACTCTGATTCATATACATGAAGAAAGTTAAATGCATAAAAACAGGAAAATTTGTTACATCATTTGTTATGTGGCAAAGCTCTGTGTGACATTAAACTAAAATTTATACTATAAACGAGTTTATACTAATTGCCATAATTGTCTCTGCTTCAGACATAAAATATTGTGTTTTATTTATACTCCGCAGTCCGTTGTACACGTACAATCTCTGATAAATAATTTTCAAAATGATGAATTCCAAGTTATACTTGTATAGAGTTTTAAAGTAAAAGAGTTATTAAAGACACCTTTTCTTGTGTTGACATGGGTAAGATTCTGTTCTTCCGAAGTTTGTACTCATTGATGATTCGTGAATTTGGTTTCAATTCATTATCTTCATTTGTTTCCTTCTTACCTTAAAGAAGCTTCAGAAATTTGCACATTTTGGAAGAAGATGGGTACAACCAAGGCGGGTGAAGTGTCTAGGGTGTGACAAACATGAAGTTAAAAAAATTAAATTTTAATCATATCTTAATATATTTTTTTCTTGATATTTCATGTAAGGTTAGATAAAACTTGATGTAAAATCTCTACAATTAACAAAAATCTCACAAAGACTGAAATTATTTCCCTATACCATAACATACACATATTAAGACAACAAAAAGGATCATTTTGTAATACTTAAACAATTTTTTTCAGTATGAATGGCTCCATTTTCTTTTTGAAAGATAATTCTTAAAGTTTACATAAAATATACATTTCAGGGGCGGATCCTGCAATTTCTGAAAGGGGGTTCCAGGTCGGTATACCCAGCACTTATGCATAGAATAACACCACGGCCACTTCAAGTACGTAGCTACATTTATAGGAAGGGGGACCCCCCAAAACAGTTGACAAGCAAAAAAAAACAACAACAAACAAACAAAACAATAACTCCCCCACCCCCCCCCAAAAAAAAACCCCAAAACTTATGCATCAAACTCTAAAATTCTTTTTGGGAGAGGGTAGAGGGGGAATTCCTGTAACTTTTCTGTTCGGTACATTCAAATGCTTGAATCTGCGTATTTTCCGTCAAATGTGGATGGAGCTTCCAAATCAAAATATTATTTAAAACAGCAACGTGACCTCCCTCCATATACATACTACCAGAACATTTAAAACCTTTCTCCTTATTGATTAAAAATATTTTATGCATACATCTAAAAGTTAGATACTTCTGAAGATGGTCCAAAAATGGTATAGCTAAAGTTCGCTGGAATCTTCCTTGCGTGTTACTTGTGGGTTGTCAGAGCCCTTAGCCTGTGTTGTGAAGGTACACGGAGGAAAGCAAATTTACAGATCTAGCGAGCAGAAAGCACAGATTTATTTTTATTTTTTCAAATCATTAGACGTATAAATATCTATATTACAGAAAAGATGTCTCTCTCTCTTTCTGTAAGTACAAAAATAAAGAGGGGGTTTCTAATTTAAACAATATTTATTCAGTAAACTGAATAGATTGGGCAACAGGCTTAAGCCTATAAATACCCTCTCTATATAACAGGTCATGGTAACAATACAATGAACAGAGTAAATAATTACAATTCATATTATGATATGAGTGCTCACATACGCATTCTAACATACTCACACACACACCCTCACACACACACGCAACCACACCCTGACTCGCATAGATAGGGGGTTTCTAACCCCCAGGACTCCCCATCTCCCCTCTGGATCCGCCAATGCATTTTTGGTTAACAAATATTGAAGCAACGGTACCATTCAAGAACACATTTATGACATAACATTCGCATATTTCCGAAAAATACTTGAAGTCTATTGAGTAAAGGGTCATTTCACAATTGGAAATTTTACTTTAAAAAGACGTAAATGGAAATCTAACAACCAAGGTCTATGATAAACGTGATGACTTTAACTTTTCTACCGTCAACTTCCCTTACTTATGCAGCAAAATACCTTCAACACCTGCATACGGAGTTTATATATCTCAATTGATTCGAAACGCATGCTTTATGTATGTACAATTTCTAAAACGAGATAATTTATTGACAAACAAGTTGATAAACTAGAATATCAGCAGTCTCGTTTTAACTCATCATTTCGCAAGTTCTTTGGTCGATACAATGACCATGTCAGTAAATACAATTTACTATTAAGTCATATGCTGACGGACGTTTTTCATACTAAATGTTTGGCGATTATTACCACCTTTTATTAAGGACAGATTTTCACATTATTTCCCACGAGACCCGTGTTTGCCCTTCTCCTAATATGTATTGTTTAGAGAACTTTTGAGCTTGAAAATACTTTTCATTATCTCCATATATTTCATTGTACCCGCAATTTCTTCAATTAAGCTAAGTGACAGTATAACCGATATTTCTTAAGTACAAGTACAAGTATAAATATACTGAAGGGAAAAAGAAACGCAGGGTAAACTTTTGAGGTGAATTAAATTTGTTTTTCTTAAAATGCTTTTTAGTTTTCCTATCTATCGTTTAAAATCATCAATCAAGAAGATATAACCAAATTTTCGTGTGATTTTGTCTAATTATTCATGAGTTATTGAAGCTCAAATGACGATACCCCCCAAAAGGGAAAATTGAAAACTCTCATTATCTTCAATGTGCATCTCGTGCATTTGTCAGAGTCTTATTTCTCTTTTGCATGGAATTTCATCAGAGTGTTTATCTTTTAAACCCTGGCTATATTTAGCATGGGTGACCACGCAAAAAAATAAGTCATACGACGCGCGCATGCGCCATTGAGAGGAATACAACAGTAAGTTGACTGGCTCAAAAAACCAAATTGCGGAATTGTTTTCTTTCAAATTTCGTATGAATTTTATGATTATAATCGTGTACACTATAAATGGATGTTTTTGTGGTAATAAAGTGGCGATTTAAGAGATGGCAGGATGAATAACCCGCTTGTAACATGGCTCTGTTTTGCGTTAACGTCAGCGTCACGGTTGATTGAAATTCACTCCAGACCCTCTCTAATAACGGCTAAAACGTTTTATGGGGGAAAATTTACAAGAGACTGCTTAGTAAACCGTTGTTGCCTTTTTCATTAATTAGGCAATTCAAAAACAAGACCCCATTGAACTTCCGTAAATGGTGCCAAGATTGCAATAAATTCATAATGTCTCTTAATATTGAAAAACGATGTGCACACCTCATCTGCATCAAATAATGCAACAAGATTTGTGAACAAACACGTCGTTATCAAATTGCACGTGTTTTGGGCTTTTCAGCGTTTTCCCTACGTGACATCATAAATTTTACGGTTAAGTAATTCTGAATACTGATTTTGATGCACAGTAACTAAATTTCCCATCTGACCAATTTTCGTAATTTTCCGTCATGTGGTCAAATTTTTATCGACAATTATGCTACCCTGCGTTTCTTTTTCCTTTCAGTATATATAATAACGTTTTTCTGCTGTGTCTGTCTGTTTATCAGCTTGTCTGACTGTCTGTCTTACGGTCTGTAAATATACAATTTTTCAAAAACACTTAGAATTGTAGAGCTACTCCTATAGTTTTGTCTGATTTTAATATATACTGAAAGGAAAAAGAAACGCAGGGTAAACTTTTGAGGTGAATTAAATTTGTTTTTCTCAAAATACTTTTTAGTTTTCCTATCTACCTTTTAAAATCATCTTTCAAAAAGATATAACCAAATTCTCATATGATTTTGTCCAATTATTCATGAGTTATTGAAGCTCAAATGACGATACCCCCTAAAAGTGAAAATCGAAAACTCCCATTATCTTCAATGTCTATCTCGCGCATTTGTCAGAGTCTTATTTCTCCTTTGCATGAAATTTCATCAGAGTGTTTATCTTTCAAACCCTGGCTATATTTAGCATGGGTAACCACGCAAAAAATTAAGTCCAACGGCGCGCGCATGCGCCAGTGAGAGGAATACAACTGTAAGTTGACTGGCTCAAAAAACCAAATTGCGGAATTGTTTTCTTTCAAATTTCGTATGAATGTAATGATTATAATCATCTACTCTATAAATGGCTGTTTTTGTGTTAGTTAGGTGGCGATTTAAGAGATGGCAGAACGAATAACCTGCTCGTAACATGGCTCTGTTTAGCGTAAACGTCATCGTCACGGTTGACTGAAAACCACTCCAGACCCTCTCTGACAACGGGTAACAAGTTTTATGGGGGAAAATTTACAAGAAACTGCCTAGTTAACCATTGTTGCCTTTTTCATTAATTAGGCAATTCGAAAATGAGACCCCATTGAACTTCCGTAAACTGTGCCAAGATTGCAATCAATTCACAATGTCTCCTAATACTGAAAAACGATGTGCATACCTCATATGCATCAAATAATGCAACAAGATTTGTTGACAAACTCGTCGTTATCAAATTGCACGTGTTTTGGGCTTTTTAGCGTTTTCCCTACGTGACGTCATAAATTTTACGGTTGAGTAATTCTGAATACTGATTTTGATGCACAGTAACTTAATTTCCCTTCTGACCAATTTTCGTAATTTTCGGTCATGTGGTCAAATTTTTATCGAAAATTATGCTACCCTGCGTTTCTTTTTCCTTTCAGTATAATTTGGCACATAAGAAATCTGTACTTGGAAACATACATCGATTAATCATTGTTTTTATTTTGATGAGCAGTGTTTCAATGGTAACTGAACAGTGTTTTGAATGATACTAAATAAATTTCTGAGAAATATATGCTACTCTCCTACAATTTTAATTTGATTTCTATGCTATGTGATAAACCTGATAACTTTAACTTTCCAATCGTTAACTTCCCTTAGTTATGCAGCAATATACCTTCATCACCTGCATACGGAGTTTATCTCTCTCTGTTGAATGCAAGAGTATAATCTACATGTGTACCATTTCTACAACAAGGTAAATTATTGACAAAGAAGATGATGAAACAAGAATATCAACAGTCTCATTTAAAGTCATAATTTCGTAATTTCTTCGGTCGATACAATGACATTGTCAGCATATACAGTTTATCATTAAGTCAAATGCTGACTGAAGTTTTTCATTATAATTGTTGGTACATTATCTATATACTGAGTTGGCGACGAGTTTTTCCAATATTTCTCAATCATGACAAGGAGCATACGGCGGGTACGACCGGTGGAAGGGGATGCTCACTCTTCCATGACACCTGATCCTACCTCTGATGTGTTGGAGGTCCGTGTTTGCTCGGCTCCTATTTCTTTTTTTAAAATTGTTTTACGGACTTTTGATCTTGAGTACTGCTTGCTATCTCCACATGTTTCATTCAATATATCATAGCACTCAAGTTGATTAAACAAAGATAAATAGTTGATTATTATTGAGTTTTTATGTTCTAAAAAAGAAAATTCTGTGAAATTGTTTTATTTAGAAACTTTAAAATCACATTAAACAAAAGAGACTTTTCTGCATTTTATACAACAATTGCTCACAATAAATCACAGTCTGGGAACTTGGATCATCAGCATTATTATATATTTATACCGTTATGTGGCAATTTTAGATGTATTAGAAATTGAAAAAAAAAATAACCTTGTAATTAATTATTTGAGCAACCTAGATGGTCATTTTTTTAATTGAACAATTTGGTTACTTTTTTCAAAAACTTTCATTTACTTAGCTGAAAAAAAATTCTAGATGTATTAGAAATTGAAAAAAAAAAATAACCTTGTAATTAATTATTTGAGCAACCTAGATGGTCATTTTTTTAATTGAACAATTTGGTTACTTTTTTCAAAAACTTTCATTTACTTAGCTGAAAAAAATTTCTAGGGCACAAATACATAAAAATTTGGAAGAAGTGGAAAAGAAGTGGAAATGAGTGTTGGAATCCTTCATTGACAATATGAATGCAGTCTTAGCTAGGAGACTAAGTTTCCAACAACCTCTTAGAATTCCCATGGACAGTACAGCGCCATTATAAGCTGTTTTTATAAATCCTATGAAGCAGAATTTATTCAACAACTTCTATCAGAGAATAGGAAAATGTTAGCTGCAGTCTTCAATTCGACATTTAGATTCATCAATTAACAGTAGTTATTTTTATTTGTATGTCGACTTGATATGTTCCAGTGAACTTGAAATGAAAGACAGCATGGAGTCTGTTAAATCTGTTTCATATTAAGATGTTTTAGTGACTGTAGACGATAATGACCAAGTAGAAACCAAATTGCTTGAGATACGAGATGACTTCATCTTTTCCATCGTTAACTTATTTATGTTGTGAAATGTCTGGAGATAACGAACATTACGTAAGCTCAAATGTCCATCAGTCAATACAAATTTGGAGCAGAGCAAATACGGACCTCCAAACCTGATGTAACAAGGTCATTGTATCGACCATAGAACTTACTTACGATATGGTGACTTTAAACGAGACTGTTGATATTCTTGTTTCATCAACTTGTTTGTCAACAATTAACTTATGCTAATTATTTTCTCATGCAAAAAATGAAAATAATTGAATTTAAAGGTAAGAACCGAAAATCTATCTATATCACAATCGTGTGCTCGCCCTCTTGTTAGAGTATTATTCTGAGTAGGGCTTTCAATAGAGTTAAACATGTATCTCCTAAAATATTCGCAATCCGAGAGCAACTCTGAGTACAATTAATTTTCAAAGTGAGGCCGGTTACTCAATGATAAGTTGATGTTAAAGAGATATCATATGTGTTCCTCTCCTTATGATTTAATTTATTAACGGAAAAGTGCGTAGACAATTCAGTGTGAAAATATTAACCTTACAATCTTATGAAAGACATCATTTAACATAAGGAATAACAACAGAATACAAAGGAAATAAAATCGTTGGTGTACTTACCATAGAAAATCAAAGGATAAATTTTGATACTATCACAAAAAATTATTTACAAAAATAAAATAAATCAGGGAAAATCCGCGCCCTTTGAAGATTATACAATAGGCATACATGTAGATAAAAAGTCAACTTAATTTGCTGAGGGATAAATAAAGTTTTATTGAAAAGCTTTTTCATGTCATCTTTTTATTTTGTTCTTTAGAATCTAAAGAGGTGTGTTTAATGATAATTTTGCATTACTAGTATATTGGTCGACAGTAAATATAACAAAATTAATAATAATTTCAATATTATACACATGTATTTCTTTTTCTTTTTACTTTTCGCAGATATAACCACCGAGATATGAATCATTGTCACAAAAGACGTTATGAAAAGCGTATCGATCCCCTGCATAAAAGAACATGCAGTCTTGGGGAGCTCCGTCATTTCCATTAGGTTCCCCGGCTCCAAAAGCGAAGTACGTCATTTCCTTCATTTGTCCATTTTTGATCCATCTCCAGTCCCCTCCTGGTTTTCTTCTGTTTATGTTCCTCCCACCGACGTAAAAATGGAGACCTGTAAAGATATAATTTGATCAACAACTTTGTGCGTCTCAAACCAGATGTACTGAATTAAGATTTCTATAGCGTTAGAAAGATTGCGAAATAAAATGCTGGAAAGTTTATCTTCCTGTAATTTAATATCTTAGATAAATTCTAATTGTACATAAACAAAGTGTTTAAAATTTTAATACTTATCTAAATCTGATATTAACTGATTTTTGATAACGACTTTCTTATGTATAGCATCAACAAAGATATATTTTTACCAATATATATTTTATTTCACAAATCTTGAGAAATCGTCACGTTTAAGTACCTGTATTCATTTCTTTCAATTTTTGCTTCATCAGCATTGCTTCCTCCAATGTCTCAAAATTGGCGAGGTATGCCCCCACACGACTACACCGGGCCTGAGGAAAAGTTAAAAGTTATAGACTATTTAAGAAATATACGCGTACGCATCTTAATGTAAAATATTATTCAAATTATTGCAACCATCTATACAAGATTCTTAAATTTAAACTCGGTAGGTTTATACATACATATATAAATTAAAAAGTTGGAAATGACATACAATGATCGATCTAAAAAATGTATAGACAATGCGAATCTGCGGAAAGGGCATAAAGTACGGACCCCTGGAAATTCCAGAGGTGGGATCAGGTGCCTGGGAGGATTAAGCATCCCCTGCCGACCAAGCACCTGCCATGAGCTCGTGTCTTATAAAGTCAAGAAGACTGAACAATCCCTTGTCAAATGCATTGTAAGAATAATTACCTAACGATTGATGTAAAACAAATCAGCCAAAATACTCGTAATAAAATAAGCTCATATAAATTGACTACTTAAAACGTCGGTAATTCCTACATAAAACAACTAAACCTTAACTACTGTTTGTAAAATGATTGCTTACAAAAGCTTCGTCTCCTGACACCTTGTCTGCGCTGATGTTGTAACAGTTGCCCTCGTAAATTTCAAACGGAGGTGAGCACACAAAAGCTGCCAATAAGAAACTGATGTGTATTCGGATTTCGTAGAATTTGGTATATCAGTTCAACAGTCAAAGCTAACTGTAAACTAAAGATTTCACATGGACCGCTTTATACATTTTTGAAAAGTTTGAAAGGTTATGTTTATTTGAATCTACAAACACTAATTCTGGTATAGGTGCTTCATCAAAAAATAGCTCTCGAGAGCTAAAATATTTATAATGCTCAATTTTTTTTCTTACCAAAGTTGAATAATGTTATTTAACTTAATATTTTTCGTCAATTATTTTAAAATTGAAACGTATATCTCATTGGGGGAGTTACAGTAGCAAGATTACCTTTCCCCTCGATTATAACTACAGTAGTGTAAATTATTGAGTTGCACCTCTGGGAATAGTCCTGGCCCTGGGGGAAATGGAAGCATGCTTACTCCCTGAACTCTACTCTTTAACTGTATATCTATATTCTATCTTTAACAAGATGCATTAAATTTACATATTCATTTTTAGATATGACTAATAATTTTTTTTTTCGATTTATGTTGAAATTGCCTCAATTTTTTCTTGAATTTTCAGTGTCACAGTATAATGATAAAATTCATAAAAATTAATTGAATACTTATTTCTGAACAAATATGATTATTTCTCTGACCAAATAATTTTATGTGCCACCAGAAAGGGAAATACGAATCTAACCTGAAGAGTAGTGATTGTAAATACTTCAAAAGGGAAAATTTATCATATTCTCCTAAAATACTTTCGACCACAAAATTAAGTTCCTGGTTTTCTTCTATCTTTATGAATAAATGAAATATAATCGCTGTTTTGTTTTTGTTTTCTTTTTCTTTTGAATTTCGTTTAATGTGTGTTGCCGAATCCACATTTAATATTTCGATATTTCAAATTTAATAAAAGAACTGAAATATGATGCAGAATTTTTAGAATGAAAGACATGGAGGTAAGGAACGGTATTCAATATCAAAGTTTATAAAACAATACAAAATAGGAGCTGAGCAAACACTGAACTCCAAAACATCAGAGGTGGGATCAGGTGCCATGGAGGAGTGAGCATCCCCATACTGTGTGCTCTTTGTCATGATCGAGAAATAACGGAAAAATCCGTCGTCAGTTCAGTGTATAAATAACGGACTTACATTTAGTATGAAAAACGTCATGCATTTGACTCAATGATATATTGTATTTGCTGACAAGGCCATTGCATCGACCATAGAACTTACGATGTGATTACTTTAAACGAGATGATGATATTCTTGTTTCATCAACTTGTTTGTCAATAATAAAGGTCTTGACAAATATTTCAAACTTTCAGGATCAAATGTACTTAAATGCGCACTTTCATATTCATACGCATTTAGTCGTTAGAACAACTAAAATTTATGAAATGGAAATGAAAAATATACCAAAATATTTACATTTGCAAATGTTTTCCTTTATATAACACTACTAAAGGCAAGCGTTTTTATAACTGTATAAATACAGGTATGGGGTCAAGAGGTCATAAATGTGCGTTTGGATAAACGTTCGACGTAATTTCTCTGTGACGTCATAAAGGGTCGACGCGCGTTTAGTGGATTACATACATACCGTTGGGTTTGAAAAATTAACGCATTTCACACGTTAAAAGTAACAATCAGGCAAATATAAAGTATGAATAAGTCACAAATGTAAATATAAGTAATAAAGTATCATTTTTTGAGTTTTATTGAGATGTAAAACGGGTTGGCACATGATCAAATCCTCCATAAAGCCCTTCGGGCTTTATGGGATTTGATCACGTGACCAACCCGTTTTACATCTCAATAAAACTCAAAAAATGATACCTTATTTCTTAAATATAGATTTAGAGAGTAAAGGGTAGAAAATATCCATATCAATCGTATTTTTTGTACTTGCCTTGCTTTTCAGAACACCCGAACACAGCTGTAAAACACAGCCAACACACCACAAACAACCAAACCTTCATCCTGAATGTAAGCACCACGACTGAGCTAACCAGATTTATATATAACGTTAAATGCATAAGAACAGACAATGTGTTACACCATTTTTAATATGTAAAACTATACACATCTATGACAATATACTATAACCATTTTTTTTACTGGCTGCAGGTGTGCTATTAATTATATCCCAAAGCCTGTTGTACGATTTAAATTCTGATAAATAACGGTTTAATAAATAACATCCTGGATCATATTTGCACAAAGGTTAAGAGTTTAAATGTATTCAAGAGGAATTTATTGTTATATACTTTTTCAATACAATTAAGATTATTTCAATGATAAACATTTTAATATTATGATATTCATCCCTGATATGTGATCCTATTTCTTGCGTTACTAGGGGCTTGATTGTGCCCCCCCCCCCCCCCAATGGTTCGTATATATTGATTTGATGATTTGAGAAATTGATTACAATTTGTTTTTTCATCTTTCCATTTCTTTGAAACACGCTTTGGTATTTTCTACTTCAGTCTGATTTACCGGGTAAATCAAACCTTCACTAGCTCCTTTTTATTTTGATTATCACGCGACTTTTTGATAAAAAAAATCTTATTCGAGTCTTATGAATCTCGATTTTAGTTCATTGGGTTTACCAATACTTTCCTGTATTAAAAAAGGAATTTAAAATCTTGAATTATGCATATAATTTATTTGTAAAGAATTTTAGCTATGCATTTCCGTGATATGCATGTCTTTTACAAATCTTTGACATGTTTGAGAAAATTGTAAACTTCGTGAAACGCGTAAATCAAATGTGTGCACTGAAATCTAATCTATTTAGAATTAAACTTAGCTTTCAGAGATTGCTGAAGTTTATCTAAGAAGACAGCTGATAGTAAAACACACTTGTTCAAAGTAGATCAAGTGTTCACATCTCTATTTAATTCATCATCTAATTAGTTTAAAACAATTATGGGTCTTATCATTGCACCCACAAACAAGGCGGAATTCTCTCAGTGTAAACTAAGCATGTAAAGAGGACTGAAGGATGTATGCAAGTATTTGGATGTAAATTTCCTTCTGTTTTCCATGAAAACTTCTAGGAACTAATATTTTGTTTTACATATATCTTACGCTATTGAGGATGTGTAACTGCTTGCGACAGTGTGTTTTGGTGACGGTTTTGTTAACTTTCTCGGCCGTTGTAGCCCCCCAGGATGATGTGCCCCCCGGGGCTGCTACTCTGGCCTTTGTGTTCGACATAACCGGGTCTATGTATGACGACTTGGTTCAGGTCATCGATGGGGCAGCTAAAATAATGGCTACAACGCTCGCCCGTAGAGAAAAACCTCTATATAATTATGTACTCGTACCATTCCATGATCCAGGTAGGACAATTTTACGAAACAAATATAATAATAATGATGTGTGAGAAAAAAAGTTCTTTCTTTGCATGCTTTGTGAAGGTCAAAGTTCAGGGTCAGAGTAAAAATTAATATTTCTGAAAATGAATTTGAATAGGAAAAAAATAACTTTCACATAAATTGTTACTTTGACACAGAGATTATAAATAGGTTTGTGAAAATTAGGAGAAATTTGGAGAAATTGTCTTATTTTATTACATTATATATCCCTACAAGAAATTTTAAGCTTTTGCAGGCAAAAGTTTAAAATAAAATACATGTAGTCAGTTTTGGTTGTGTAAGAGAACCTAAAACTGTACGCTATAATCTATGTTTCAAAAACTGCAATTGCAAAACATAGATTATCTGATACAGTTTCACGATTTGTAAACTATGGTTTACAACTCTTAACTATAGTAACGATCTGATAAATATAGTTTCAACCGATTAACAACTCTTCACTATAGTTCACGATTGTAAATTATATTTTACAAAAGAAAATCTATGTTTATCAACAAAATCAATTGTTAACGTTTTATTACAGACAGATACACTTAGATTTGCATTCGTAAACTATTAGTTAACAGCCGTTAAATATAGCTTCACAGATGAAAAGCAAAGTTAACGAATTCTAAACTATAGTTTACGGTTTGTAAACTATAGTTTACAGTCGATAAACCTAGTTTATCAACTGTGAAACTATGTTTAGCTCATTTTTGTGAATTTGGCGTGGCATAGATACGTTTGCAAAAGTCGTTCAAATTGGACCCATGCAATATACTTATCAAAGATATTAGGACTTAAATTTACACAAATTTGAATAAATTTCACTGGTTTAGGTTTGTAAGTTCACATGTTTTATTTGTTGTATTTTTTATTGTTTTAAAGGTTATTAAAATCTGTAGAATCTTGAACAATTTGTATTTAGAATATTTTTAAAAAGTTTTTTTTTGATTTTGTAAGATTTTATTCCATTTACACGACCATGTCAAGGAGCACATACTGGATGCAATCCGGTCGACGGGGGATACTTGCCTCTCCATGGCACCTAACCCCACCTCTGAAGTTTTGAGGTCCTTGATTGCTCTTTGTTTAAATGGCTTGAGTTCCTTTTCTCTAGCAATATTTTCTATGATAAATTGTAACGTGAGATTTTCCTATACTGTTGGGTCTTTGTGGAGCAGTGAGGGGGGCACCTGCCTGCCAGGAGTTTTTTGTCCCCATCTGTTCTCTGTCAGATCTAAACTTAGCGGTGGTTATCAGCTCCTGGAGAAATTTATGATGTTTTTATTTAAAATTCATGATCAACAGATTATAAAACCTGCTGATGTGTTTTAAAGTACAGATGAAATACTGCATGTCTCTTAAATGTACTGAAGAGAGAGACAAGCAGCTTATATTTTATGTAACACGAATGTGCAGTGTATACATGGCAATACTCTGATTTTTTTTTGTTATCTCCTTATATCTCATTATTTATTTTGAGCTGTATGTCATCTAATTTAATTCAAATTATTCATAGTTAATGTTGACGTATTCAAAAAAAACTTCCCAGCATGACACTTCCTGAAATTGTTCATATACGAAGGGTTATCAAAAAGTACGTGGACTAGCGCCATAAAATTAAAACCGCTTTAGGTACATCATTGAATTTTAAAATATCTTGCTAGCATCATCTTTTCTATCTAAAGAATAAACTATAAATCATAAATTTTATATTTAATAAATTAGTAATGTTTTTTTAATCAATGGTATGTCCAGGCGGGGCAACTTCGAACACGGCGTTTGTGCGACCTAAGTGTAATTGAAAAAAAAACTTTTGATATGAACATTTGGCATCCAAAAATCCCGTTAATTCAGGTATGTGTTGGGACACAATTGTTCCATGAAATATAAATTTTTTTCTTCATTTTGGAAATCTGTGAAATTTTATCGTAAATGTAACATGGAGTGTCCAAACAAATTAGGCTTTACAAATGACGTCAAAAGGGGGGATCCTTTTCCAACATTCTATAAAGTTTTGCCCCTGAAAAAACTGGTATGGACCCAAGAAATGTTTAAACTGGCTACAGAGAAATGATATGCATCCAATTCAAAGTACTTGTCTTTTAATTTCAAAATAGATTCAGAGAGAAAAGGGTTGCATAGTTAATGTCGATTTGTAGTCAAGGTGTGAAAAATCAATCACGTCAAAAATGAGTTGATCTGTGTTGTAGATATTGAACTATCAAAAGCAAAATATGCTGGCACAATCAATCGAGGATTTCTCCCAACGTATAAATCTATTTGGAAAAATATATTCATTGAAAGCCGCCGTTCATGACATTGTAAAGCCATGTAAACAAGGTTGGTTTAAGTCCTTCCTCAGCTCCAGCGAATCTCACCAAAATAAGTGCATGAGGAAAAAAGAAGCGGACATTGAAAAAAAATAACGTTGTCTGGCGTCATGAAACTAAACGGCGACGGCGCCGGGTGATCATATATAACGTCGTTTTTATTTTCTTATAATTTGGCAAATAATGAACGTATCAAGCTAAATTTTTCAACATTTCTTTATTTTTAGTTGCTTGATATTCCATATTAATTTTGAGAGCACAAACTACATAGTAATAATTTTATAGCCTAAGTCCACTTTTTGATAACCCGTCGTATCTATCTCATTTTTTGTCCTAAAATTTACTTTAAGACTGCAAGATCGTCAGTAGAGAAAAGGCATTAATTTGAAAACTGCTTTGGAATTAAGATATCACTGATCTAAAGCTAAAACTGATATCTTAATCACCGTAAAACAATAAAATATTCAATGAATTTTATGTAATGTTATGTTATACTCGATATGAATGTTTGACATATCTGCACTGCCTGAGATTTTTTTGTAACTAGTTTTATGATGTTAGGATTATACACATGTACCAGATTCTTATTATTTTGCTAGAGCGTACAGAAGTTTATAAAATGTCTAATAATCACTGGCCTAGCTTGTAGATCAGTAACATGAAAGAAAACCATTTTACAGACCCCATAAGAGATTCTTCTCACATTTTTTTCACTTGTGCCAAAGACTCAAGGGAGCCTCATCGTCTTTGTTGTATACTTTTTAACGATTTCTATTTTTTTCTCTGCAGCTGCTGTGCTAATTTCAACTAAGCTTGTCACAAAGCATCTCTTGTCGTGTGCTTTAGCTTTTTCAAGAGGGAGGATTTTTGAAGAATAATAACCTTCATTGCAAATAAAACCATCTTGGTGTTGTATTCTGGCTGACTTGGTTCATACCTTTGATTTTATGACAGATTCGATTAGGCATGTCTTATGAAAAAAACTAACACACCTTTCTCTTGTATATACAAAAGTTGTGAGATAGTCAAGTTTTATATAATTTTAAAGTTAGAAATTAGACTAGTAAATTGTGTACTTTACAGATGTTGGTCCTATTGTGATAACGAAGGACCCTGATGAATTCCAGAGTGAGCTGCGTAACCTGTACGTCCAGGGGGGCGGGGATTGTCCGGAGATGAGTGTGAGGGCGATCAAAGAGGCGCTGGACGTGTCCCTCCCTAACTCCTACATCTATGTGTTCACGGACGCCTTATCTAAGGATTTCTACCTTGGAGAGGAGGTCCTAGCCCTCATACAGCAAAAGCAGAGCCAGGTGAGATCAGGGTTCACTACTTGTCATCTTCTCCTTTGTAAAAATGTTTGCTTCGAAACCGGGGAGCTTTTTGTTCTGAAGAAGGCTAACTAGTGAAAATGCTATTTATTTATCAGAATTAGACGTAAATGACTATGGAACAACAAAGTATTATTATGATGACTTAAACTTTATTTTTGCTAGTTTTCATTATTTAGGTATGTAGCAAAATACCTTATCGCCAATACAACTGGAGTTTTATGTCTCACGGTTGATTCCATACGCAATAATTTCAGTTACGTACCAAAAAACTTGAAGAATAGCCAAGTTACGGAAAAACAAGTTGATGAAACAAGGATGTCTACAGCCTCGCTTCAATCAAATATTTTGCAGAATGTTTAACCTTTTTATAAAATACTTTCTATCATTAAGTTGAATGCTTACCAACGCTTTTCATGTAAATTGTAAGACCATCATTTACACATTGAAAAAATTGCGGATTTTACCTTCGAAAAATCATAAAAAGGAGCAATATGACAGTTTGATATATCGACAGGGGATGCTTAATCCTCTATGGCACCTGATCCCACCTCTTAAGTTTTCAGAGATCCGTGTATCCTCTGCTACCAGTTGGTATTTACATTGTCTTGAGTGACGTATTGTAGGCCGTGTAGTGTAATTGACTGTCGTCTCTTATACTGTAGGATGTGTTTGTATGTTATTTATGATTAATTTAGCCTTGATTGTTGTGATGTAGGCTGTGAAAAAGTGTATTTGTTGTTTATCAGTTTTGCCTGATTGGTTGTCGTCATGTGTGTAGCAGGTTGTGTTGTCTATAATCGCACGTTGTGTTGTCTATAATTGCAACTTGTGCTGTCCATAATTGCATGTTGTATTCTCTATCGTTGCAGGTTGTGTTGTCTATAATTGCGAATTGTGTTGTTTATGATTACAGGTTGTGTTGTCTATAATTACATGTTATGTTGTCTATAATTGCAGGTTGTGTTGTCTATTATTGCAGGTTGTGTTGTCTATAATTGATGGTTGTGTTGTCTATGATTGCAGGTTGTGTTGTCTATGATTGCAGGTTGTGTTATCTATGATTGCAGGTTGTGTTGTCTATAATTCCGGGTTGTGTTGTCTATAATTGCAGATTGTGTAGTCTATAATTGCAGGTTTTGTTGTCATTAATTGCAGGTTGTGTTGTCTATAATTGCGGGTCGTGTTATCTTTAATTGCAGGTTGTGTTGTCTATAATTGAGGGTTGTGTTGTATATGATTGCAGGTTGTGTTGTCTATGATTGCAGGTTGTGTTGTCTATGATTGCGGATTGTGTTGTCTATTATTGCAGGTTGTGTTGTATATAATTGCTTGCAGGTTGTGCTGTCAAAAATTGCAGGTTGTGTTCGTACTGACGGGGGATTGTGGGAATCCGCTCAGTCCCGGATATAAAGTCTACGAGAGAATTGCTTCCACCAGTTCCGGTCAAGTTTTTCTGCTCAAAAAAGACCAAGTCAATCAGGTACGTGTATATAATTACAAAAAGAGTGATCTGTCTCAAAAAAGTACCGTGGAAATGGATGCTCATTGTACAGATTTTTTTTTAATGTCTGCTGCTTATGACCTTTTTACACCAGTTACAAGTTTCCGGGGTTTTTTATCTCTGGTCAGGTGTTAGAGGTTGTACGCCTAACTGTTAAGGCCAGGAAGGTGAATCTAATGTCCGTGGACCAGGAGAGAGCTAACTCCCAGTTTATACAGATTCCTATCGACTCCAGGCTCCAGGAGTTCACCGTATCTCTTAGTGGCTCAAACCCAAAACTCCGACTCTACAACCCTAAAGGTAATCAGACACTCTAACCCAGAACTCAGACTCTACAACCCTAAAGGTATTCAGATAAAAGATACGTATAGGTGTTTATATTCCGAGTCTTGTTTAAGTTGCTTTTAATTTTTTTGTTTTTACTTAGTATTCAATAAACAGACATATGATGTACAGAAAGGTATATTTCTTGTTATCTATGTTGTATGAGCACACTAAATAGTAATATTACTTTTTGATTGGTATCATGGAAAGGGTGTTTTCAACGCATTTACTTTTGACTTCTCTCTATTCGTGATAGAGAATTATGTTTTAAAATTTGATCAGGTGAAGAGGTGACTGTCCAGAATGGTCTGTATGAACTACTGGACATTAAGAATGTTAAGGTGGTCAATGTCCGAAGTCCTGACCCCGGGATGTGGCGACTCCGTGTCGACAGTGGCAGTGCGCATACTTTGAGAGTGACGGGACTGAGCAAAATCGACTTCGCCGCGGGATTTGCCAAAGAAAAACCACGCAATATAGCAACTACAGAGTTACGGCCCTTGGAAGGTAAGGTTGGGGGAATTTTCACAGAAATTTTTCTTCATTATCTTTTTCAACAAAAATAAACAGAAATAAAAATTGATATTGGTGATGGCAATATTATACGAAAGCCCATCTAAGACTTTTTAAAAAATTTATTACACGAATTTAAGGTGTGCTATTTTAAAGGGAATTTAATACTTATTTAAATTCATTAAAACATTAGTTATAACATTTGTTGAATTAGACATAACAAATTTTAAAACAGGTTTTAACAAATTTATTTAAAAGAATTCCTAAAATTATAATTACGATTAAATCAGAGACATAAATAAGTTATTTATGTCTCTGATTAAATTAATTTTTTAAAAAAATCTTAAGTTTGTTGTTAGAAAAAGAGAGGGAGCTTCAGAGTCAGATTATTTATCTTCATGTCGGTGAAGGACGTATCATTAAATTTATTCTGAAATATCTTACAGCTTATTTGTTTCAACGTTTTTGAGGACAGATTATTTCTATTTTACCCCCTTAAAGAATTTTGATCGGGATCAGTATTCAAATCACCTCATTCGGCAAGCCTTGGATGATTCCATTTAGATGAGGTACGAGCCGAGTAGTGTCGAGTGCAAATGTCAGCGAAATTTTGAAAACTAACAAGTTGGCGTAAATCAACTTACTGAAATATTCGTGAAACAGTGCGAACGGGGGTTGCGAGAGATTGGTGAGGAGATTGTATAAGATATATACAATATATTAAGAGAAAATGAACACTAACTTTTATTTAGATGTAACATTACTAGATAAATTCACAGGAGTTCGCAATTTCATCAATAAAGTCACCTCAAGCACAGGGACTTGCTCCTGGCGTGTAAAAAATATTTATGAAAAAAAACGATACCCCTACTATAAAACTGTAGTTTTATAGTAGGGGTATTTTTTTTTTTAATAAATATTTTTTACACGCCAGGAGCAAGTCCCTGTGCCCCAATCCATGAGCTATGCGTCGCTTACGCATAGCTTATGGCTTGGTCAATCGAGTGATTTCTGTTGACTTTATTGATAAAATTGCGAACTTCTGTGATAAATTCTGCATTGATTTATGAAGTCTAACAAATAATAAAAAAAAAAAGTTGCAAAGGAAATCCGCCTGACCCCCACAAGTTTTCATAATATTATGACAGAGAATCTCTTCTGTACATTTTTAATTGTCTAATGTAGTTGATAGAAGAGAAAAAAGCATTACAAACCCTGAGATCCATAAGGAAATAATTTTATAGAGTTTATAACTTTTCTGATATGTGATCGACTACCTGACTACATAGAATGTTCTATTGTTAAAATAATATTGTCCTACAGACCTGGTTTAACATTTGTGGTGAGGGCTTGTATCGACACACAGATTATTCTAATCATTGACTACTTAAATTGACCATCGTGGCAATTAACACTACAAGAAATTAGGGTTAATTTGTTGTTGTTGTTTTTTTTTATTAAATATGATCAAGAAGTTCAGTGGTATCTTTTTATCATGTTTATTCAATATTGATGTTTATTTGTACATGATTCTCAGAGACAGATACACACTTTTATGAAAGTGTTCAAATAAAAATGTTATATTATGGAGATTTATATTTTTATCATGAAAAGGATATAAAAAGTTTTCAGGAAATGTAAGTCAGAATTCAATATTTGATCCCCAGTCCTCTGGTTTAAGTTTACATGTGTTCCTGATTCCTGTTCATACAGAATATCTTTGGTTGTAGGTGTCCCGAGTTATGTGCTAGTCAACACCACTGATCTCGATGCCCCCGGTCACTTACAGAAGCTGCAGCTGGTCAGTCTGAATGGCATCGTTCTGTCCGAGTATCCTCTCCAAGTGGACACAGGCCTCAAAAATATATACGGGACAGAGGCTTTTAAACCTCCATCTAATTACTTCTATGTCAAGGTAACAGAGTAGCCATAATTGTTGTTGATGTTAAACATTGAAAACTGACATTTATATTCAGTATAATCATTTGATTAGTGTGAATTTTCATTATAAGTGTATTTTACTATTAAGCTTTGTATTCATATGAAAGTAAAGTAAACTCGTAGTAATCAGCACTTTCAAGTAATTTGGGAAAAAATGACATTTTAAAAATGACAATAAAGTCCAAATAAACTAGCTCATTTACAGATGTTTTAAGTAAATGAAGAATATTCCGAATCAGTACACTACAGTGAATATTTCTTGCCTATACATGTATTTCCAGGTTGTAGGAGAAGATGACCGAGGTCATGTATTATGGAGGACGACGCCCACCGCTATTAGTCCCCGGACCCCTGACCCACCCATTGTGTACATGCCGGAGATAACACGGAGTTTCTACCACTCAACGGCTACCATAGTATGTACGGTGGAGTCAGTCATTCCATTCACTGTCCAGTGGTACAAGAATGGAAGGAAGGAAGGATCAGAGGTTCTTTTCCAGTATGATCTCACTTATATATTTTAAATTTATTTTTTATTTGAAAATTACAGTGTAAATTATTTGTAAACCAACTTTTATTCGTGACAACTTTATTTCGCAATTTACCTGGGGTAAACTAGTTCACGATGATTAATTCTCGTGATCAAGCCTATTTTGGATCTGTTGTAAATAGCACAGAGACTTTAAGGACCAGTTCGCGGCGAGAAATATTCGTGATGACGAGGCTCTCACGAACATCACGAAAATTTCTTGCATGCAAATAAAAGTTGGTTTACAGTATATACATGTAATTGTTTACAAAAGAGGCATTTTTTATTTTAGAGAGTCGAGTGATGCTACTTATCAGATTTCTACAGCTAGTGCCCGTGATGAAGGCATCTATACATGTAATGCCACAAGTCGCTCCGGAAGTACGGCTAGGACCACTCTACTGGATATCAGTGGTAAATCAAGCAAAAAGATAATAAACTGAGAAAAGACTTAGGACAAATTTTATATTTCAAATAATTCAGTTTTTATTCAACGGATCTGTAAAAAGTTGCATGAGGGCACAATTATTTTCGAACACAAATTTTTGATTACATTTTTGTATTTCAAATTTTTTCCAAAGTTAATAACAATTTAAAATAACTTGATAATTGTTCACAGTTTATGATCTTAAGACCTGAGCTTGCTTAATAATATGTAACTGTGTGAAAGGACAAATTATGTTGAAGAAATCAAAATATTTTCTTAGTGGAAATTAAAGTTGCTTTTCCTTTTTCTGCATTCCACCATATGGTACTTCTGTACTGTTCAGTATTAATGCCTCCAGATATTGCCCCCAGTATTATTTACTTTATTGTATTTACAGAGCCCCCACCTGATATTGCCCAAGTGTTATTCACTTTATTTTATTTACAGAGCGCCCACCAGATATTGCCCCCAATATTATTGACTTTATTGTATTTATAGAGCCGCAACCTGATATTGCCCCAGTATTATTGACTTTATTTTATTTACAGAGCCCCCGCCAGATATTGCCCCCACTGTTAATGTGTCAGTGTTACCTGGAGACAGTGCTTCGCTGGTCTGTACCGTATTTAGCACAGTCCCGTACAATGTCACATGGTACGGGCCTCGGGGACTCGTCCGTAATAATCAGCAGTACATTATCTTTAATAATGGATCATTAATCATAAGGTAAGTTTTTGGTACAGGTAAAATTATATAAAATGGATTATTTTTGCAGGTGTATCACTGTATAGCATCTTTTAACTCTGTAAAAATAGAGCTAGATTTGGTTGGTTGAAAAGTTTTTTAAAATACTGATGCTGGGCACATTGAAACTCAAAAGCCTCCTGATACAACAAAATTCAAAGTTGTTTAAATATGACCCCAATAAGGGATCAGAGTTCACATAAGGTTATTTGAGGAATGAATCGAATAGCAACTCAAGTTATACTGTATAACCTGGGTTGGGGCAGTTTACGCTGTATAAACTGCAAAGCAGCAAGAAAATCATATATGTAATAAAATATACTTTTATTATATGTTTATAAGGTGGGACAAATGTTTCTTTTTTAATTTCACAAACAAAAGGACCGCTTCTCTAATGTCTTCATAAATAAACTTTTTCAGGTCTGTTGATTTGAAAGATGAAGGACAATATGTCTGCAGAATTGGAAACGAAGGGGGTTATGCTCAAGAAAAAGTGTTCCTGAGAGTTCAAGGTAAGAATAGACAGGTCAAGGTCAGAGTTGACTAAAGTTCAAGGTCAGAATTGGCAGAGCTCATGATTAAAATCGACAGAGATCAAGTTCATAATTGACAATGAAAGAAAGATTGAAATTAAAAATGATTCCAGGCCTAAACATTGATTAATGTTTTTCAAGTTGTCCATGTCTAGTTTATTTTTGATTAGATAAGACAATCTTAATCACACTTGCTTAATCAAAAAGTTAGTTTTTGTACCATTGTATAAATTAAGTGCATGTTTTGGAGGGTAAAAATGGGCATTTGTAGAACAAGAGAAAACTATTGTCAACTGATGTCCATCAGCTGAATACAGATGTTGGCAATAGTTTTCTGAAGGATAACAATGTCAACTGTTACCCTTCAGAACATGGACTATTCCTTTTAGTATGATGAATGTCTGATAGAAAATAAGTATGATATTGTCATTCTGAATCAGATTTTGTTTTTCAAAGTGTTTTATCTAGGGATGTCAATTTTACTCGGACAGCTTAGTCGAATAGTCGGATGCTTTAGTCGAACAATAGTCGAATATTCGTTTAATTTTGATCATTTTTTCATATCATTTTCACTGTTTGACTTTTACAGACTAGTTTACAATATTTAACCTACGCTATCACCATTATAAAACAAATTTCTGAATTGTAAACATGTACGTAGTACAATAAAAACTGTACATCAATATGTATCCTATGCATTTGATTTCAAAATTAATATATTAGGTGCACATTTTATCTAAATTCAGAATACCAAACGCTCGTAATTGTCCTTTCTTTACTTAATGGTAGTACATGTACCCCAGAATTGAAGCTAATTTCTACGTGTCCGTCAATACTTGATCTTTGACAGGTAAACAATTAAAGCGTGTTTCTTATTAAAAACAAAGAGAGAGCGAGAGCTTGGAATAAATTTTAATTATGAAATTTTGTGCAATAATTACTCTCATAACTGACCCCAACTTACATGTATTTACAATTTTGTAAAAGCTGTTGAATAGTTGTATCAAGTCGGATCTTAGTTTGAATCTACAAAACTTAACAATTGCCCTCTCCATTTAAAACAGTAAGAGATAGACAATCATTAATAAAGAAGTTTGATTTTCTTTCCCAATCTGCTTGATTTTGAAGACATGTTTGCCGAACATACATCAACGTTCAAATAATTTCCTTAGAACAGTTATAATATACCCTTAATTTTACATATGAAAATTTTGATCTGTAAATAAATGAAATAGGCAAATCTAAGTTTATTACTTAAATTCAAAATTACTATGATGAAACACATTTTTAACGAATAACCAACTAAAGAAATTTTAGTCGATATGATTGAATGATAGTGGAGTACTCGAATATTGGTTGACATCCCTAGTTTTAACCCTCAGCATATCACTGTGTGACTAGGTTTATTCATAGAATTTGTTTACAGTGCCACCGAACGTTTACATCAAACCTTCCCAGCAGACCTTTGAGGTTCGTGACAGTTTGACATTGAATTGTTACGCTGACGGATATCCTCTGCCGTCTTATTATTGGCTGAGGGACGGAGCGCTGGTCATCCCTAACAACAGAATTTCTATAAATAACAACCAGCTGACCTTCACCAACATGGTACGGAGTGACGGCGGGGACTACACCTGTCTGGCAGAGAACCTGGCGGGGGATGACACAGCTAAAGCAACACTGCAGTACATAGGTAGGTACAGCAACATTACAATACATAGGTAGGTACAGCAACATTATACAGTATATAGGTAAGTGGAGCAACATTACAGTACAAAGGTAGGTGGAGCAACATTACTTTACATAGGTAGGTACAGCAACATTACAGTATATAGGTAGGTGGTACAGAAACATTACTTTACATTAGTAGGTGGAGCAACACTGCAGTATATAGGTAGGTACAGCAACATTACAGTACATAGGTAGGTACAGCAACATTACAGTGCAGCAACATTACAGTACATAGGTAGGTACAGCAACATTACAGTACATAGGTAGGTGGAGCAACATTGTAGTATGTAGGTAGGTACAGCAACATTACTTTACATTGGTAGGTGGAGCAACACTGCAGTATATAGGTAGGTACAGCAACATTACAGTACATAGGTAGGTACAGCAACATTATACAGTATATAGGTAGGTGGAGCAACATTACAGTACAAAGGTAGGTACAGCAACATTACTTTACATAGGTAGGTGGAGCAACATTACAGTAAATAGGTAGGTGGAGCAACATTACAGTACAGAGGTAGGTGGAGCAACATTGTAGTATGTAGGTAGGTACAGCAACATTACTTTACATTGGTAGGTGGAGCAACACTGCAGTATATAGGTAGGTACAGCAACATTACAGTACATAGGTAGGTACAGCAACATTACAGTACATAGGTAGGTACAGCAACATTACAGTACATAGGTAGGTTCAGCAACATTACAGTACATAGGTAGGTGGAGCAACAGTGTAGTATGTAGGTAGGTAAAGCAACATTACTTTACATTGGTAGATGGAGCAACACTGCAGTATATAGGTAGGTGGAGCAACACTAAAATACAAAGGAGAGTGAACTACAGCAACATTACAGTATATAGGTAGGTCAATCATAGCAACACTAAAATACATAAAGAAGTGGGATACAGTAACATTACAATACATGTAGGTCATTCATAGCAACAATACAGTTTATAAATGAGTTACAAAAAATATTATATAGCAACAACTTAAAATTCCAAAGAAAACAGAGATTGATGGGTATAACTCAGTGTTTTCCCTTTGTTTCAAAGTAAAGGGTTAGAGATCAGTTGTAACAGGCTAGGGGCAGACGTTTATGAAGAGAATCTCTGTGAACCTTGTGAAAAATTTTCATTTCAATGCGGCATTTTTGTCAGTTGAAGCGGTCAACTTGGCCGGTAGCCGGTTCTTAAGGAAAACACTGTAACTGAACAAATTCAGAGAAAACCTTTTGATATGTACAACTTAACCATTTCAGAAAGACCTCAGATTGATATGTATGAGAAGAAAGTGTTGGTTGGAAGTGGAGACACGGCCACGCTCCAGTGTTCTGCCAAAGGTATCCCCCCGCCTGATATCCACTGGTTTAAAGGGGAACTGGAGGTAAGATCTAAAACTAGGTCACTGGTTTAAAGGGGAATTGGAGGAAAGATCTAAAACTAGGTCACTGGTTTAAAGGGGAACTGGAGGTAAGATCTAAAACTAGGTCACTGGTTTAAAGGGTAATTGGAGGTAAGATCTAAAACTAGGTCACTGGTTTAAAGGGGAACTGGAGGTAAGATCTAAAACTAGGTCACTGGTTTAAAGGGGAACTGGAGGTAAGATCTCAAATTAGGCCATGGGTCAACAGACAAACTGGAGTAAAGATCTACATGAAGGTCACTGGGGTAATGGATAAACTACAGTGTAGATCTACATTAGGTCACTGGGTCATGGACAAACTTCAGTATAGATCTACAGTTAGGTCACTTGGTCATGGATGAACTTCAGTAGAGATCTACAATTAGGTTATGGGGTTAGTGGATGAACTGCAGTACTTTCTAATGACTGCATGCTCCAATTTTGTTCTACTTCCTTAATTTTTGATTTGTAATAATATTTTCTCCTGTCATTTTGATTTAGTAGGTCTTTTCAGACTCTAAATTAAATAATATTTGAGAGGCAAATCTTTACTATGCTTTACATGAAGTTAAAGGAAACCGAACATACAAAGTTGATATATTAAGTATTTTAATCTTTATATAACAATCTCAAATCATTTGAGAAGTTTTTGATGTTTAAGAAAGTTTTCCTCATTACTGACAGTTGAATCAGTTGTCCTATGTAAAGATAGCAGCTAACGGGGACCTGTCGATTCTGGGGGCCCAGGAGCAGGATGAGGGGGACTACATGTGTATCGCCACCAACACTGCAGGAAGTGACTCGGTCATTGTCAACCTAGAGGTCGGAGGTCAGTCAACATCATCAAGTCATTATATTTACAGCAAATATAAAGTATAGGTTCATTTGCTTTGGAATGAGCTTAAAACATCTAAACAGTTAAAGGATAAATATTACATTTACCCTTGGCCCAAGAAGGATATGCATATGTATATTCAAATTTTGTGCTCAAGGTAGATTATGGGAATAAGAGGCATTTATAAAGTCATTTATTTGGGTGAAATATGATATTACCTCCAAGCTAACTGTAGAGCTACAGTCTCATCAGGACTAGAGTACTGTTCTGTATCACCTCCTCACTGTCCATTTAATATGGGGGCTGACATCTCCACTGACACATCTCTTCTATATTTACAGCTGATCCTAGGATCACTAAGGCCCCGTTTAACATGGGAGCTGACATCTCCACTAACACATCTCTTCCCTGTGAGGCGACAGGTGACCCCTCCCCCAGGATCTACTGGCTCTTCAAGGGAAACCCCGTCAAAACAGGAGGACGCCTCAGGCAGGACAAGACTGGCTATCTCTTCATTGACAGTGAGTTGTTATTTGATAAGCAGAGTATTCCAGGAACTACAGCCATTTACATTTTTAGCTCTACTGGTCAGAGACCAGAAGAGCTTATGCGATAGTAATGCGTCCGACGTCCGTCCGTCTGTCTGTCTGTCCGTCTGTAAACAATTTTTCAAAACGCTACTCCTCCTACAGTTTTGGTCTGATTTCAATATGACTTGGCACACAAGTAGACTACACTAAGATACATAGAATAGTGCATCGGTTTGTAATTTCGATGAACGGTGTTGCCATGGATACTAATAATAGAATTTTTTGTGAAATTCCTTCAAAACGCTACTCCTTCTACAGTTTTGGTCTGATTTTAATATAACTTGGCACACAAGTAGACTACATGCACTAAGATACATAGAATAGTGCATCAGTTTTTGATTTCGATGAACGGTGTTACCATGGTTACTAAAAATAGAATTATCTGTGAAATTCCTTTAACACACTAAGTTTTATTTGATTTCGAAATAAGTTGGCACAGAAGTAGACTACACAAAGATACATAAAATAGTGAAATGGTTTTTGATAAGTACAAACCAGTAGAGCTGCAGTCTTGACAGAGACTTCTGGTTTAAATGTGGCAGCTTCAGACAGATTTTCAAGAAAAAAAATCATTATTTAATTTTTATTGAATGATAAATAACTGCTCATCAGATTGTGTAAACTATTTCAGATTTTAATATTTTTTAATTAAGATCTGAAGTACACAGATGAAGGGAGGTACACTTGTGTTGCACAGAATCAGTTTGGTATGCAGGAGATCTCAGCGTACCTCAGTATCACTGGCATCGGTATGATGACAATTATATTATCTCCTAGTAATGGGAAGGCATTTCAGTTTGAGAATTTCCCGTCCTTTGTTATCATCCTTTGCTGCTTGCTGAGTCTCTTTTGTGTGTTATCTAGTGAGCCCTGTGATTGCCTACACTAACCCATACCTTGACGTGGTGGAAGGGTCAGAGGTGGACCTCAGTTGTGTGGTCATCCAGGGGAACCCCTCTCCCACCGTCCACTGGCAGAAAGGCTCCAAGGTACTGTTTGATGTATGATAATGTTAGGGTATTATCCAGCTGTTTGCGTTCCGGTACTGTTTTATGTGATTTTTTTCAGGTGTTGGAGAGCAATGATCGTTTCAATGTGACAAGACCAGGGGAAATAACCATTAAAAACATTCAGAAGTCAGATGAAGGAGACTTTATTTGTGTCGCCACAAATGTTGGAGGAAATTCAACCTACTTTGTTACTGTTAATGTCCAAGGTATTATGACATTACCATTATCAATATTTAATTTATAGTTTTTATGTTAATAACATGCAGAGAGGAAATATTTTCATACTTGCAGTGTTTTCCCTTTATTTCAAAGTAAAGGGTTAAAGATCGATTGTTATAGGCTAAGGGTTGATGTTAATGAACAGAACTTTGTTAACCTTACAACAATTTTGATTTCTAGGCGGCATTTTTATCAATCGAAGTGGCCAATTTGGCCGTCAGCCGGTTCTTAGGGAAAACACTGCTTGTATGACGTTTTTCAAAGCTCATTGGTCATTAAGTGACCTTATCACATGGGGCATTTAAAATATCTAACATACCTCAATTTCATAAAAATGATTGTAAAAAAATATGTTCATAATACTGAAGAATATTTTGTTAGGTAAAATTTTATTGTCTAAAATAGACCTTTGGCCTTGATGGGATTTGATCAGTGATCCATTTTTTTTTCCAAGTGATTTTTTGAAACTTGTCATTTTTTTTCTAATTTAATGACACTGCCCTTCATTTCAAGTAAGGGAATTGAATGTTGTTAAATAAAAGACAACAATCTCTAGATATTTATTCAGCAGTGCTCCCAGGATGTGAACTTTGCAAAATCAATTCATTTCTGGTCTCATGAGGAATTGTTATTTTTGCTGACATACAAGTTAAGCTCCTCCTCCTGTATGTAGCCTTAACAGTGCTGTGTATTGATTTGTCCTCTGTTTATTTGGCAGTGCCTCCACGTCACACTTTTCACAATGAGGACGACAGTCAAGGTAACTTTACGGTCGTAGAGGGAGGGGGGATAATCCTGCCCTGCAGTGTTGAGGGTGATCCCCGCCCAACCATTGCCTGGTATAAGGACGGGAGTCCGATCTCGCTGACAGACTACCACTACTTTATCAGGGAGGACGGAAGTCTGGAGATCTTCAGTGCTGATCCTCAGGACAGCGCCACCTACAGGTGTACTGCCTCTAATGTGGCGGGAGATGTCGATAAAACCGTGCAGCTTTTCGTCCAAGGTAAATAAGAACTAATTTAAAATATACTTACCTCCAAATGATTGAAATTGTTGATTGATAACTTATTTAGACTTGTCAAAATAAAGTCATCTTAAAACGTCATATTTCTTTTTCCATATAATATACATATACCACATGGCTTCTTGGGTGACTATACTAGAATATTTGCCCAAGGTGACAGGAAAGCCCTGGAGTGTTATGTAACTTGATGCCGAAGGCAGAGGGTGACATAATGCTACAGGGCTCTTCTGTCAGGGTCGTTATTGCCAGAGAAGCCATGTGGTATATGTTATATAACATTCTTAAAATCCTAAAATCAATAAAGATTATACAAATAATCCAAAAATGCTTTCTTAACTTTGAAAATTACTCTCCATTGTTTACTTTTGCTTTGCAACCGACATACAGTCTGGAACCTGAGCTAAAATGCCCAATGTAAAAACGTGAACGTGATCAAGAGGGTGACATAACTGCTTCCGTTGGGCAACATAACTCAGTGTTTCTGGTGTGATTTAGCATTTTTCAAGTTTCCGGTGAAACTTAAGAATTACTGGTACATTTGAAACATAATAAGAAGACTTATTTAAAAATGTTTATGAAAAGATTTTGTTTAGCAAACCTGCATGATTTTGACAACAACACACCAAATAAAATATCAGTTTCTATTTCATTACACTTGATAAAATTATTTTTTAATTTTTCTATTTTCTAAGGAATAGATATCATTGCATTCAGTAATTATATCCTTGTAATTTATATTTGCCGTAAGCTGATTTTCCTGGCCTTTATTTTCAGTGCCCCCGGAGATTGAGGGGGCAGAGACAGAGGAGTACACCATCACCACAGGGGAGACAATCGTGCTGCCATGTGTCGTGAAAGGAAAACCCACCCCCGCGGTCTCATGGAGGAAGAACTTTGTCCGATTCTCGCCGGAGTCCTCGGAGCGTTTCCTGTCCAGTAGCCTCGGTTTGACGATCTTTACTGCGGAGGTCTCAGACCGGGCAATCTACGAGTGTGTTGCCAGTAATGTGGCAGGGGAGACAACCAAGATTATCACACTTATTGTCCAGAGTAATTATACTGTTACAGTTGTTATCACAGTTGTACAAAAGTATTCCAAATAAATTTTTTTTTCTCAGAAAACTCCTGATGGATAAGACATAAAAAATTACAATTACAGATTAATATATATTTACTATTGGAAAAATTTTATTTCACATAATATAATTTTTCAAGTACTTACTGGATGTGACTGAACTTATATCTCACTTCAAATTTCAGTCCCACCTACAATCAGCTCTGAGGGGGAGAGGGATTTAATAGTCCTACAGGGGGAGCCAGCATTCCTGAACTGTGACACACAGGGGGACCCAGAACCTCAGGTGACATGGAAGAAGAAAGGGGTCATTATTGACCCCAGCAGTGACCCTGACATAACCTTGACCCCCTTTGGATCTCTGCAGTTTAGCTCTGTGAAGATTCTGGATGATGGGAGATATGACTGTATTGCCTCTAATCCTGCAGGTTCCGCAACGAAGAATTTCACTCTTATAGTACACGGTAAGAAGTCAGCAGCTTATAAATTATAACTAGGGTACACTGTGAAATCACAAATTTTTGTGGGGGTTTAATTTTCATTGTTTTCAAGTATGACGAGACCCACGAATTCATGTCCACCACGAAATGTAAAATGTTACATACATAAGTACTCATTAATTCTTGATCCACGAAATCAAATCCCCATGAACCAAGAGATTTTCCTCAAGCCACTAAAATTTGACCCCACGAAAATATGTGATTTTACAGTAATTAAGTTTATAAGTCTTTTAGGTAGACTATTTTTGGAATAAACTTTAAAATCGAGTGAGGTTTAAGACGTCATTAACTTTTGTTTTAATAACAGATCCCCCATCTCTCCCTCCCTTTGTATCCAACTTCACCCAAGTGATTGAGAACAATGCGGTGACCATTCCTTGTCCCGCGGTGGGGACCCCGCGCCCCGTCATCAGGTGGTATAAAGAGGACGTTCTACTGACTGGTGATGAGAGTGGAGTTACCTTCCTTGACGACGGAGCCCTAGAGCTGGACAATGTGGGAGCTGAGGACACCGCGGTTTATAAATGTGTGGCTTCTAATCCAGCAGGGGAGATAGATCACTCAGTAGCGCTCCATGTACTTAGTAAGATTAAAAAGCAGTAACAATCTGTGAATCTGCATCATTTCAGTGAAATTTCACTGTTATGCATGATTTATTTCCCTCTTCTAAAAACATAAGATAGTTGATTTAAAAATTGTTTTATAATGTAACTTAATTTTTTTTTAGATTTTTAAAAATTATAAAGTAAACCAGATTTTCTGAAAATCCAGAACTGATATAAAGCATGTAGATTATAAAAAGATCATTTGCATAAAAACAGTTTTTAAAACAATGCTCAGATGTTTTGTTATGTATATAAAGTCTAAAAGCCTTTTGTGTAGATCTCTTTTTTATTTTTTTTTTAAACTGAAGTTATTCTTTTCTCTAAAAGTAATGTTAACTGGTCTGATGATACACAACACCTTTTTAGCTCACCTGAGCCGAAGGCTCAAGTGAGCTTTTCTGATCACATTTTGTCCGTCGTCCTTCCGTCTGTCCGTCTGTCTGTCTGTCTGTCCGTCCGTCCGTCTGTAAACTTTTCACATTTTCGACTTCTTCTCAAGAACCACTGGGCCAATTTTGACCAAACTTGGTACAAAGCATCCTTGGGTGAAGGGGAATTTAAATTGTTAAAATGAAGGGCCAAGTCCCCTCACAAGGGGAGATTTTAGGTCAAGAAAAGACAAAAATAGGGTGGGGTCATTAAAAAATCTTCTTCTCAAGAACCACTGGTCCAATAAGGCTGAAACTTATGTGGAGGCACCCTGGGATAATGTAGATTCTAAATTGTTCAAATCATGACCCCCGGGGGTTGGGCGGGGCCACAATGGGGAATCAAATTTTTACATAGAAATATATAGGAAAAATCTTTAAAAATCTTCTTCTCAAGAACCATTGGGCCAGAAAAGCTGAAACTGATGTGGAAGCACCCTGGGGTAGTGTAGATTCTAAATTGTTCAAATCATGACCCCCGGGGGTAGGGCGGGGCCACAATGGTGAATCAAAGTTTTACATAGAAATATATAGGAAAAATCTTTGAAAATCTTTTTCTCAAGAACCACTGGGCCAGAAAAGCTGAAACTGATGTGGAAGCACCCTGGGGTAGTGTAGATTCTAAATTGTTCAAATCATGACCCCCGGGGGTAGGGTGGGGCCACAATAGGGCATCAAAGTTTTACATAGAAATATATAGGAAAAATCTTTGAAAATCTTCTTCTCAAGAACCACTGGACCAGAAAAGCTGAAACTTATGTGGAAGCACCCTGGGGTAGTGTAGATTCTAAATTGTTCAAATCATGACCCCCGAGGGTAGGGCAGGGCCACAATGGTGAATCAAAGTTTTAAATAGAAATATTTAGGAAAAATCTTTGAAAATCTTCTTCTCAAGAACCACTGGGCCAGAAAAGCTGAAACTCATGTGGAAGCATTGTGGGGTAGTGTAGATTCTAAATTGTTCAAATCATGACCCCTGGGGGTTGGGTGGGGCCACAATATGTATTACAAGGGGGAAATCTGGTAAAGAACAATATGACAAAAGATTCTCAGGTGAGCGATGTGGCCCATGGGCCTCTTGTTTTATTTTTCTTAAAGTTCCACCCAGACTGATAGATGGGGCAATCAATTTATCTCTGGGAAGTCCTCTGAAGACCACGGCAGTAGTTAACAGCACGGTGTCCTTCCATTGTCCCCTCCACGGGGATCCGAAGCCTGTCATCACGTGGCAGAAAAACGGGGAGGATCTAACAGCGGACGGGGTGAGGGTGTTTATCTCAAACGAGGGACGGAATCTGACTATCGTGAATGTAGAGGTGTCAGATCAAGCTCGGTACAGATGTACTGCCATGAATGAAGCTGGGGAAACAGACCTTTCATTTCCTCTAGATATTTTAGGTAAGAATCGAGAGGGTTGACAAAAATTACATCATCAGGACAATTATCAACAAACTTTTGTATTTTTAATATCATTTCTAATGAAGATCTTATTCTGCTTTTATTTATTTTTGAGTGTATGCTCTCATGTTTTATTTTCATAAGTTATTGACAATACAATATAATCAGAGAAGAACTTGGATTGTAGTTCCCCCTATCATTGACTACAATGCCCTCAGCCCCAGTAACCTCTCAGTGGTGCTGGGTAACTCCTTATTCATCCTCTGTCCATTGTCCGGAATCCCACCTCCTACGATCACGTGGTACAAGAATGATGAGGTCATCTCCCCTGAGTTGGACCGAAACCTTCGGTTGTTTGCAGCCGGGCAGCGCCTGGAATTAACCAGTGCGCGAGTGAGGGACACAGGGCTGTACAGGTGTGAGGGGGTCAATGTGGCCGGCAAGACTCAAAACGAATATGAAGTACAGGTGTATGGTAGGTGTTGATGAATAAGCATTTATATATATTAATTGTTTAGAATGAGGCAGGTTGTATCAATTGAAATGTTAATGTTTTATCACATATATAACATCAACGTTAGATGAATTAAAGAATAATTACATAAATTTTAACCCTATAGTTTATTGTTTTCATTGACCCTTAAATATTTTGAGAGTACAGACAAAATTTTTCACCATTCTCTATCTAGTGCCCCCCTCCGTTCAGAGGGAGGGGGAGATAGACCACCCTGAGGTTGTAGCGGGTCGGTCCATTCAGTTGACCTGTCCCGCTTCTGGGATCCCCCAGCCAGACATTTCCTGGTTCAGGGCCAACCAGGCCATCAGGGGGAACTCCACAAACTACGTCCTACTGGACGATGGCTGGACACTGTCCATACTGAATGCATCAGAAGAAGACTCGACAAGGTTTACATGTCGGGCTATAAATGTGGCAGGGAGCAACGAGAAAGCTTTTGATCTTCAGGTGCTAGGTAAGAACTTCTGTGCTGACTTTTGATATTTTGTCTTTCTTTCTGAAATATCAGGTGCTTATGTTGGAATTCCTTGTTTATTTTCTATATCCACCATGTCATCTCTACAACAGTTCCTGCCTATATACAGCGTGACAAGATAGAAACAGAGCCTAAGGTGATCCTCAACAGAACACTGGTCCTGAACTGTCCAGTGAGGGGGGTCCCTACCCCAGACATTACCTGGTACAAGGAGGGGATCCTCCTAGACTTCTCTAACAGCCCCAGGGTGGAGGTTCTGTCCTCGGGGAGACAGCTCCGGGTCCCCAATGTACAGCTCACTGACGGTGGAACGTATACGTGTGAGGCCACAAACAAAGCAGGAGCAGACAAACAGGACTATCAAGTACAAATACAAGGTACAGAACTTGTTGTATTATATTTTTTTATGCAACTTTGAATATAAACAGATTCTATTAGACCATTTCTTGTCATCAACAATCCTTGTGCAAAGTATAAACTTTATAAAGTTTTGACAAGTTCAATGAATTCATGCTCATTTGTATGACATTGGCCTCATCCAAACTACCTTGGAAAGAACATCAGACAGTCTGAGTTTATAGTAAACTGTTTGTCTAATGAGTTTGAGATGTCACAACTTGATGGTTAATTTTGTGTTTTTATGTGACAGTTCCAAGCAAGATAAATGAATTCAGGACAAACGTGAAGCCGCGAGTAATTGTCAATAATCCCCTGACTATCACGTGTCCAGCGTCCGGCGTCCCTCCCCCGGTCATTACCTGGTACAAGGATGGAGAGAAGATCAACATCACAGCCAACGAGAACATCCAGGTGGACAAGGACGGACAGGAACTGACCATCAAGGTCACCGGGGTCAAGGACACAGGGTCATACAGCTGTGAGGCCTGGAACGAAGCAGGCGTGGCTAAACTGGACTTTGGTGTCTTTGTTGAAGGTACTGATACTCAGTTTATATTTTTCCTTCATAATACAACTATGGTGACTGAGGTACCTATAAAAATTGATGTTAAACACAAAAACTGCTTTTGATTGAGAACATGCAGACTTTTAATATTTTTTATATTTATTAAATATTTTAGGAGTACTGTTACGATATTTAACTGTAACTATTGTAAGGTAAATACATCGAAAATACAAATTCAGCTATAAGAAACTTTACCACTAGATCATCAGGACACTTGACAATTTCCATTTTTAGCTCACCTCAACAAAGCTTATGTAATACCCTCGGCGTCGGTGTCGGCGTCCCAGGTTAAGGTTAAGTTTTTTGGAGCAGTTTTCTTTTTAAGTACTTCTATGTCCAATATTGATTATACATGCATGGAAGATGCTTCTAGAGTGTTTTATTGTACCAGTCAAAGTTTCTGATGCTGCAATTTCAGCAAAGGAATGACCAGGTTAATGTTTTTGGAGCAGGTTAACATTTTTTGTGCAGTTTTTGTTGTAGGTCTCATTTCCAAGGAATTATAAGCCCTATGTTGACCAAACTTGCACAGATGATACATCTAAGGATGCACATTATCAGGCTTGCTTCGGATGTTTAATATGACCTACATTTTCCGGTTGAGTGAACAGGTTAATGTTTTTGGTCTGGTTTCCAAGTAACTATAAGCCCTATGTTGACCAAACTTGCATGGATGATACATCTAAGGATGCGCATTACCATGCTTGCTTCAGATGCTGAATATGACCTACATTTTCCAGTTGAGTGAACAGGTTAATGTTTTTGGTGCATTTCTCATTTTCAAGTAACTATAAGCCTTATGTTGACCAAACTTGCATGGATGATACATCTTAGGATGTACACTACCAGACTTGCTTCGGATACTGAATATGACCTACATTTTCGGGTTGAATGAACAGGTTAATGTTTTTGGTGCAGGTCTCATCTCCAAGTAACTATAAGCCCTATGTTGACCAAACTTGCATGGATGATACATCTAAGGATGCACATTACCATGCTTGCTTCAGATGCTGAATATGACCTACATTTTCCGGATGAGTGAACAGGTTAATGTTTTTGATGCAGGATTCATTTCCAAGTACCTATGAGCTCTTTAATGACCAAATTTGCATGGATGATATGTCTAAGGTTGCATTCTACCAGGCTGGCTTTGGATACTGAATCTGACCTACATTTTTGAGGGATGAGTGAAGAGGTTAAATTTTTATGCATGTTTCATTTCTAAGTAACTATTAGCCCTATGTTGTGCAAACTTGCATGGATGATACATCTTAGGATGCACACTAATGAATTTGTTCCGGATGCTGAATTCAACATACATTTTCCAGATAATGGACCAGGTAAAAGTTGTGGGTGCAGTTCTATTACCAAGAAACTATAAGGCTTATATAAACCAAACTTGCCCAAATGATGCATCAAGGGATGAAAACTCTCAAACTTGCTTCAGATGCTGGATTTTAATCACATTTTTGTGATGAAGAACTAGTTTGAAGTTTTTATATATAGGGCTATTCCAAAGTATTAGATCAAAATTGCATAAATTTTGCATTTTTGAATGTACACTTTTTGTTGGGTAATTGTGTGACTTTGGCTTACTTAAAGACAACATTCGTTGAGGTGAGCTCTGTAATCTCTGATTGCCTATGTTTATTAGTTCCTCCATCCATATCTGCTACTGAACCATACCCTAAAGTAAGGGAGGGGGAGGAGATCACCATACGATGCCCCGCCACTGGGACCCCAGAGCCCGAGATAACGTGGCTGAAGGGTCGTCAACCAATCGACTTCTCCCTGACTTCTGGTCTAAGGGAGGAGAACGGGGGGAGAGAGCTTCATGTACACAATGCTATAGTAGACTACGGGGGAATGTACACCTGTGTCGCCTCAAACTCAGCGGGGGATGACTCGGTTGACATGGAGCTCGAGGTCTTGGGTAAGTGCTCTCTGCTATGGAAGACTGTTAGGAACATATACCTTTATTTTCCCTCAGACTGAAATGTCAACGTTTCATTGATTAATAACATGGCACATGAATGCTGACTAGATTTCTATGCATGATTACTATATAATCCCTATTAACCGCACCGGACGCTTAGAAAATTGTAAAAAGGGGGTGATTATATTTGTATTCTCTTTTTATATTTAATGTCGTATTTTAACTTAAAAAAAATCTTTTGTAAAAAGAAATAAACCACTTAAAAAATGTTTAACTTTACATATTAAGTGAAGATAATCCACCAAAATTAAGCTAAATGATTCATTTTCCACCAAGATCTTGGAATATGGACAAGTTCGTTTTCACTTTCTTCAAATTTTGGCAGACTTTTGATATGATTCTAGATGGTTTGAAAAAAAACTGTACAGGGGCCAATTGAAAAAGACCTAAGGGGGTGCTTATAGGGGCAGGGGCCGCAGCGGTTAATAGGGATTATACGTTATTCATCAATTAATTGTTTATGAACAACTTATCAATCATAGAATAAGAATGGGTTCCATCTCAATAAATTTTTGTTTTATTTTGAATTTAGTTCCTCCAGTAATTGACAAAGGAATCGAGAAATATACAGGGGTCACAAAAGGTCGTACCACCGTCCTTAACTGTCCCGCCCATGGACTTCCTCCCCCCAACATCACATGGTATAAGGACGATGCCCCCCTGGTCCTGGACAAACGTATGGAGTTATTGACGGGAGGTCTACAGCTGAAAATCACCAACACCACGACTAACGACACAGGGACGTTCAAATGTACCGCCGTGAATCCTGCTGGGGAGGATAGCCTAGAGATGAGACTGGAGGTCATGGGTAAGGGGTGTTCAAAATTTGTAAAATCTAAAATCAAGTATAACAACAATTATGTTAAAGGAAGAAGATATTTTTTATCTGTATATAGTTGGGCTTTGGACTGTGGATATCTGCCTGGGTAGCTCAGTTGTTAGAGCACCTGACTATAATAAGATGTATCTGGTTCAATTCCAAGTCCAATTCATTTATCCATTCTTCATTTCCTACTACAGTGGCATGTTATTGTTTGATGCTGTACTGCAAATATTTAATGATTGCAATACTGATGATGACCAAGTACCATAGTTTTACACAAACTCATGTTGTTCTTTTTCCTTTTTAGTTCCCCCATCTATTGACGAGTCCAATGTAGTGTACACACCCAAGGTGATCCGGAACAGAACCGTGATCATAGAATGTCCAGTGTCTGGGGTCCCAGAGCCGACCGTGACCTGGAAAATCAACGACGGTCCGCTGATTCCCAAAGACAGGATCCACTTACTGAACAATAACAGACAACTGACCATTGACCAGGCTCAGGTAGCTGACTCTGCTACATACATGTGTATAGCTGAAAACAAGGCGGGGGAACTACGCAAGAAATTCCAGCTTGAAGTTCTAGGTGGGTGGAAATAACAGATCTCTTATTCATACAGCTTTGTTTCATGTTGAGCAGGCTTAAAAAAAGAATGTAGACTTTAATTTTAAATCTTTATGATTTGTAAAAATCCATCAGCAATAAAGTTAAGTACTCCATGCATTTGTCTTTGAAAGAGTTTCAGTTGTCTCTTTTGTGTAGTGTTTGATGTTCCATTTAATCATTGTAAGCTCAATACCAGTATAAAAATAATTTTGTAAATAAACGTTAAACCCATTAAGATTTTAAAGTCCAGAAATGAGATTTTAAGGATACACCAAAGGCTTTTTTCAAGATTTTTGTCAATTTTGAGATTTTTGGCTAAGAAAAAATTGCTAATTACTGCTTTATAATGCATGAAAAATTCTTGCTGATTATTAAATGGTTTTCTAATTATTTAACAATAATCAAACATAAACACTAACACATGTGAATGTGCCGTTATTGAAGCTTCTGATTTGGTCTGTAACTGCCTGCTTCTGATAGGAGCAATAAATCACTGTGACCACATGGGGAATTCTTCACTAGCCACACAGAGATTATCAGTAATTAAACTACAGGGACTCTAGATTTAGGGAAGGAGATCTAACAGGTCACTAATGACCATGAAATAGGAGGTGGAGCTTAGCTCTTGCCATTTTGCCGGGAAATCTTTCTGATTCAGAATTGAACTTATTTTACTTCAATAAAAGCACCTAAATAAAGAATAGAACCTCCCATTCTTGTGAATATGCATAGGAAATATAGATGAGTGAAAGGTATCCAAAGCTGAATCTCCAAGGTGTCATATATTTCTAGCTTTGGCAGACTTTGTTGTGTAATGGGTTTTTGCCCTCTACTGTAAAGTAAGATCAGACAGTTGGTGGTATTATTTCAAAGGATTCAGCTCCCTTATTTATTGACCAATTTCTCTGAAAACTGGCCAGAATGCATCTCAAATGTGTGTTCTCAAAACTGCATGTATCTCAGATTTTTGATATCTTGCTCAGTTCTAGAATTATTGCGGAAATGTAGAATTGGGCCTATAAATTGGTAACATTGAAAGACAAATGGATGTAACTTTTGAATAAGAAGATTTATCAAAAATCTGAGATACGGTTTTAAAGTTCAATCTTTAATCTACATCGAGGCAAAATTTTGACTTTGAAAGGTGGAATACGAAAAAGTTGATTTATAAAACATAAATGCACTAATATTTACATTAAAATATTAATAGTTTTTTAATAAGATAAAAATGAAAATTTAAATTAAGATCATTAAATAGTAAATTTAATAAGCTTTCAAATGATATATACTTTTAATATGTTATCTTTGTTAATGAAAGAATTACAAGCAAGTTAAATTTTGCCCTTTGGAAACCTTTGGTGTATCCTTAAGGAATTTTCTTGACTTGGCAGTATTTAACCAAGTTAAGCTTGTTTAGAAATATATTTTTCCCAAAGACAAATTCTCTATGAGTTCAGCAATAAGTGTCAATCTTATTCCAGTCCCCGCCCACATTCTGACTGAGGTTGCCTCGGATACAGAGTTAGTGACCATTCAGAACCAGACCATCAACATTAACTGTCCAGCGATGGGGATCCCCCCGCCTTCCATCATCTGGACCAAGAACCGGGTCCCCCTACTGGACGCCTCCTACAGGAACCTGCGGGTCAAGGGCAACGACCAGGTTCTGGAGATCTCTAACGCCCAGACCAGTGACGCTGGGAAGTACACATGTACCGTGACTAACGTAGCGGGTCAGGAAAAAAGAGTGTTTAATCTGCAGGTTCATGGTGAGCTTAACTACATATATGATCAATAGTCTAAGAAATACCATATGTGTACTTAAAAAATCATCATATTTTAGCAGCTTTGGTGTAGCCATTGATGCACTAATACATGAACACCTCTAAAATATTATATATAGGTACAATATATGGCTAGAAAGCGTACTTCAGTGTATGTCAGTCTAATTCATGAATATTCCAACAACTCAAAATCCAGTGATTAATTGTGCTCAATTTTTAAATAAAAAATTCATGTACATGTACAGTAAATAGTTATTACAATTTAATTATAGCTTAGTGTTAATTTTGTGTTGCAGTGCCTCCATTTATAGCCAGATCTCAGGGGGAGGAGCTACATGTAGCGGTGGAGGGCGGGACAGTCACTATGAACTGTGAAGTGGGCGGGACTCCCGAACCTATGGTCACATGGCTTAAAGACGGACAGATACTTAATATGGAGGACAACACACATATCCGAATCCTCTCCGGGGGACAGGTGGGTTAACATTTCTATAAAGGCTCATCACAGGCAGGATCAAGCCTCAGGGTCGGATTTAACGGTCTTCATTATTATGTACCTTGTGACATTATAAAGTATGTCATTACTTTATCTTGATTGCTCATCTTCATTCATGGTGTTTTCAGATTTTCCAGATTTTATCCGTCAGAACGACGGATGCAGCCAAGTACACTTGTCAGGCAGAGAATCAGGCCGGACTGACGGAGAAATACTATAAAGTAGAAGTTCAAGGTATGGAGTTAAAGGTCATGAAATCGAGTTCAAGGGAATAAATGGAGTTCAAAGTAATGTGGTTAAGTTTGAGATTAGCTGTGGAGTTCAAGAGAAATGCCTCTGGTAACATTAAATGAGCTCATACCTCAGTTCTTAAACAACAAACTTTCAAGGTTCCCTGAGCTACAATGAACCTGTATGAAATATTATTATGATTACAGTGGCCCCCAGAATCAATGGTTCTCAGTTCCAGCAGAGGTCAGTGGTTGTAAACCAGCAGCTGGTCCTGTTGTGTGAGGCTGAGGGGATTCCCCCTCCCAAGGTCACCTGGATGAGACATCATCAGATCATCCCTCCTTACGGGAACCCTAGTGTCAGGATCAGGGACCAGGGAAGACAACTCCTGCTGACTAACGCCCAGCTTCTGGATGAGGGGGAGTACACTTGTCTGATTACTAACCCAGCGGGGAATGCTTCAGTGGATTTCTCTGTGTCTGTACAAGGTATTCTAGGATCTTCATATGTGTATATACCCAGTTATCTATAATTTTGATGGTTGTTCATGAAATAGACCAGGCCTTGAATGTTTATGATGGTCCATTTTGTGGATTAAAGAGAATGTGATTTGTTACACAGCATTTCAATCATGCCTTCATTTGAAAATTATAGACTCTGTATCTTAGTTTAACGTACATCAATTATGACATTTTTGATTTTGTTTCAGTTCCTCCATCCATTGAGGAGGGACCCACACGAGTTGTGGGGATTGTCAACACCAGAGTGGACCTCTCCTGTACCAGTATAGGACTCCCCGTACCTCAGGTCAAGTGGCAGAAAAACGAGGAGGTGTGTTGTATGTAAAAATAAGGTCTTTTGTACATGTAGAGGCTGTTTTATCATAAAGGCATTTCATCCGGTTTCTGAATGTAAGAGAAGGTAAACATTGTTACAGTATTTTATTGTCTGTAGGCGTTTCCCACGACGGGACTGAGACACAGAATGTTAGTGGGCGGATCACTAGAGTTCACCTCCGTGAGACTAGAGGATGCTGGGAAGTATGTCTGTACCGCCTCCAATGAGGCCGGAAGTGACAGCAGGGCTATCACACTTGATGTTCAAGGTAAACTGAAATCAAGAATAACCAAAGGGAAAGCAGTCTGAGTCATTAGTTACCTTCAGCTGATGTTTCTTGTTGACAGTCCCCATTAAGATAATAGGAGACACCCAGAGGAGTTTGTATTCTGAATCATTAGTAATCTTCAGTTGTTGTTTTTTTTGACAGTCCCCCCTAAGATAGTGGGAGACACCCAGCGGAGTATGCAGGCTGTTCTTGGAGATGACGTTTACCTCCCCTGTAATATGGAGGGAAGTCCTGAACCCACTATCATGTGGCAGAAAGGAACATCAATACTGACGGGGGGTCCAGGTAGGGGTGATGTTTATATCCATACTGAGGGGAAGGGGGAAGGGGTTGAAGGTAGGTGGGGATATTCATAAATTTAAAGAATCAATAGTTTTAAGTTCTACATTTTGTCAGTTGAAGCTTTTATATCTTCAGATCACTACATAATGTCGAACGGGACACTTTTATTGCGGAGAACGGATGAGAGGGACACAGGGATGTACATCTGTATAGGACGGAACAATGCAGGGACAGCCATGTCACAAATCTACCTCAGGATGTTCAGTGAGTGGTTTATGAATTTACCGTATAAGTGGAAATTTTAGGGAGACACAAATTTAGCGATTTGTCCTTAAAACATGGTATTTTATTTTTAGCAGGAAGTAATTTTAGCCATTTTAAAATGCTCACTAATGAAGCTAATAGAAATTAATCATAGTTTATTTTTAGCGATATTTGATTTTAGCGATCTCAGAACCCTTGCTAATAATGCCAAAATCAAAATTAAATCTTTGCCAAAAATTCTGCTTATATGGTATAATTCTCCATAGAGAAGGAAAATATCAGTCTGATTAAAACCATCCCCCTTCTCCTTTCACTCGTCAGGACTCGGAAAATATGGACATAAAAAGAAATGGTTAAGGCTTTGTTTGTGGTTTCTCATTTTGTTTCATCAGATTTGCATGACTATCCTGTTACTCGAACCACATGTTAAAATGATGAATAGGTTCAACCTGAAAGAGTTTTAAAGTGATTGGTTTTCGTATTAGCTTTCTTTCATGGAATATGTATTGAGTTAATTGTCTTTATCTTTATTTAGTTCCTCCTAAGATCACAGATGTAACACAGACCCAGTATTCTGTACAGCAGGGTCGTAACATCGTGTTACCGTGCCGGGCTGACGGACGACCGAGACCCCAGATCTCGTGGGAGAAGGACGGAGAAAAACTCTCTGGAAGCTACCACTACAGATTACTACGATCTGGATGGCTGCTGATCCCTTACTCTAGGTGAGCATTTAATCATTAATGATGATTGAAGTATGGGAGTATTTAGCTCAGCTACTGCAAACATTTGTGATATTAGCTCAGTCAAGTAAATGTCTCAATCAAATGAGCCTTTTCTGATCTAAGAGTGTATGTTACGGACCATAAAAATTGTGCAGGTCCCTATCTTAATGTATAGTTTATCATTAAAGACCAGAGGACACAGGCACCTACAGATGTATAGCCACAAACAAAGCAGGGACCGATGATGTCAGCATCACTCTGACTGTGCATGGTAGGTTTTGACATTAACAGAATTTATGTTTTAAAATTTCATCTTAATATACAGCAAAATCCTTTGAAAAATTTTAGAAACTTGAATTGTTTACAGTCTATAATTCTGAAAGCATGAGAAGTTTAAAATTTTCATAGTTTAAATTTTCATGAACTGATTAGGATTGTTTCTTTAAGAATTGATTTGACCTATCTCCTTTAATTGTGATTTGTGTTTTGGAGATTATATTTAATTATGAGCCCTTTCCTTTGTAAAGTACCCCCGAGGATTGAGGAGGGACATCGCCTTCTGACGGCCAAGGTGGGATCAACAACCAGAATACTGTGTAACACGACCGGTGAACCGCGACCAAGCATCACTTGGTTAAAGGACGGTCGACTGATCAGGTCCGGTGGTAAATACCTGGTGGAAGACTCGGGAACACTCGTCATCAGCTCACTAGACGTAAGTATTACCAGAGGTGGAGGAAATTTTATCAGTGTAATACAGTTAAACCTTGTTTTCTCAAATTTAATGGGACCGAGAAAAAATTTAAAGAAATCAGAAGATTTTCAAAAGGTCAAAAGATTTTAAAAAGTGAAGATAGGATCCATAAAGAAAAGGTTTTGGGGGCTTTTTTTTCACTTTGACATATGTTTTGAGCATATGTAATTTAATTAGGAATGAATGAATAAACATTGTTTAAAATCACTTAACTTTTACAGAAAGATGACACTGCCAGTTACACTTGTACAGCTATCAACGTGGCAGGGAGGGACTCCATGGATCGAGTCCTCAGGGTTCAAGGTAGGTCAAGGGTCAGCTAAAGAGTAAGGTTGACAGGATTTTAAGTAGGTCCAAGTTCTAAGATTCAAGTATCAACTGAAGATTCTTTTAATAATGACTTGGTTTAAGGTTAAATCAAAGATTTTGGAAATAAGAAAGCCAGGCATCAAACAACAGTAAGTCAGAAACTCAGTGGTAAGCTAAAGACCTAGATATATTGTAGTTAGAGTTGACACTTGAAAGATGATTTTTTTTTCACTTCAGTTGTAATAATCCAGTATACGTGGTTATACCATCAGATGATTTGTTATCCTTTGTGTGATTATATTGATAGATCCACCCCAGATAACTGTGGCCCCTCGTAGTCAGGAAGTCATACAGAACAGTAGAATTGTCTTGTCATGTGCTGCCATGGGAATTCCAGTTCCCACAATAACATGGACCCTTAATGGAAAACCTGTCCCAGGTAAACTCTCGAGTTATGCAGGTTGTACTATGTTTATATTGTGTGCTGACATGATATCTATATTTAATTAGTGTTATCATTATAAAGCTTCTCCGAGTATAAATGGGCGGAGTTTCCTGTACATCTACCACGCCCTCAGACAGGATGCTGGGATGTATACGTGTATCGCAGAGAACCCAGCGGGGATCGATACGGCCTCCGCTCCTGTCCTGATGAAAGGTAATTATATGTTTGTTGGACGTCTTATCATGTTCTTGTATTGGAATAATGTACCCACTTGCAATTATTTAAATGTGCTATGAATAAAAATAATTCAAAGTCTGTAATTTTGTTTTAATTCTCAGTTTATGGTCACAATAGAGTCAAATACAATTGAAATTATCATTTATTTTTAACTATGTCATGACATAACTTTAAAAGATGATTTTGGTTACAGTTCCGCCCCAGGTGTCCGTCATTGACAGTGAGGCCACGGTCAGTATAGCGGACCAGGTGATGTTGACCTGTTCTGTGGGAGGCGACCCTAACCCCGACATCAGGTGGACAAAGAACGGCCGACCCGTAGAACTCAGTGACAGAATCGTACAGCTGCTCAATGGATCTCTGGTCATCTATGACTCAACAGTGGGTGTTTTATTACAGTAACTCAGTGATTTTATACTAGTATTACAATTTTAGCTATGCAAACTTGTTATTTACCTCTCTGCATGAAGGAACTTTTTGTTTTGAAGTTTAAGACATGGTTGCATTTTCAATTGGTTGATATGTAAGAATATCAATTTCTTTAATGACTTCCTTACTAGTCAAAGCTCATGTCAGAAAAAGATTTACCGGTAAATGAAGAATCATTAGATTGCAAAGGGTTCATTTAAGTCTTCCCCACTTTCCACTTGTCTGGTAAATATTGATGACCTTTGATTCACCTTATTTTGACAGAGTTCTGATGCTGGAGAGTACAAATGTGTGGCCTCGAATGATGCAGGGACATCAGAGGGTGTGGCCATGTTAACAGTTCAAGGTGAAGGTCAAACCTCTTCTAAAAATAGACGCATCATGAAAAGCAAAATATCATTTTAAAATAACAAAAAATTCAAAAAAATTCTCTTGGAAATGGGATCTGATTTATAACCTACATTAACAGGTGTAGATATCCTGATATATTGTAGAACCTCCAAGTTTTAAGATCGAGCCGACCAACAGGAGGATAAACTTAGGGGACACCATGGTGCTGGACTGTGTGGCAGAAGGGGAGCCCACTCCTGATATCTCCTGGTTACGGGGCTGGAAAGACATTGAACAAGGAGAGAGAATCTCTGTCCTACCCAACAACTCACTCAGGTAACTAAAACTCTTTTTGAGAATAAAAACAAATTTTGTTGTTGTTTTTTTTTTTGCTTTAATCAGAAGAATGAGAGGGAGAAATTATGATAATCAGTGTGATTTAAGTTGATTTGATTACTTATGGTTTCTTTATTTACATTCATTAAATTAGAAAACATGAGAAATGATTCAAAGCCTTTATTTCTCAAGGTAAATCAATTTAATTGCTCCTCTCTAGGATATTAGCAGCTCAGCTGTCAGATGCTGGTCTCTACAGATGTAAGGCCGCCAACCGACTGGGAATCACCATTGTGGAGGCTAACATGACAATTGTGGGTAGGTGTCTCATGATAACAGTTCAAAGTTAGATATCTTGTGTGATCAGAGAGTAACGTGACAAATGTGGATAGGTGTCAGAGTGTCACATGATTAAGAATTCAAAGTTAGATATGTAGTTTGATTAATTGTCATGCAGTCTCTGTAACTGTATTTTATCTGAAAATTTAATTGTAGCTAAATTGTACAAAACGAAAAGACAAATACTTGCATGTCTCTCAGAGATGTCTTTTATTACTGACACTTTTTTCACATTTGCTTTACTCTTTGCAGTACATGGTCGGTTTTCTCAGTGGACATCCTGGGGGTTGTGTAGCAGTACCTGTGGGGTGGGGCTACAGTTCAGGACCAGGGAGTGTGACAGTCCCTCTCCCCGGAATGGAGGGAGACAGTGTATAGGATCCTCCCTGGACTCCAAAACCTGTGTGTCAGGACACTGCCCAGGTAAGCGGTGAATGTGTTAAAATGTTAAATTTTATACAACAGGGCATTGCTATAATAACAACCTTTTTATGAAAAACTGTGTTTCAGGATATTTTCCAAGTAAGTAATGAGATATTGTCAATTTCCCCAAAACTAGTGTCAACCTTAGCAGCACCTAAGTTGACTGTTTTTCTTAGGGTTAAAATTTTCAGTGTTACCCTCAACTACATGCATGACTGTGAATTAAGATATTTCACTTGCATCATAATTTCTAAAGTAATTGAAGTAGTGTTCGTCTTCAGTTGATGGGGACTGGGGTAACTGGTTGCCATGGCAGCCCTGCAGTGTGACGTGTGGAGAAGGGGAGAGAACTCGTGAGAGAGTGTGTAACAATCCAGCCCCACTACACAGTGGTCTCCGTTGTCAGGGTCTGTCTACAGCCAGGGACATCTGTAATGAGGGGCTGTGTCCAGGTAAGTCTATAGACTGATGATGTAAAACTATTACTTAAAATTGAAATATCTAGTCCAATATTTCCCCAACGAATAAGAATTTTCAAACCTCTCTTAGTTATAAATATTTCCATTTTACTAAATTAAATGTGGTTGAAGATCTTCCCATGTCAAGTTATTTTGTCCTATTTGTTTAATTTCTAAAGGTTAAAAAATTATTAAAAAATAAAATAAAACTTTGACCTGTTGTTTGTTGAATACATGTAAACTGAGTTGTATTGTGTTGACAGTGGCTGGTGGTTGGAGTGGGTTTAATTGTTGTTATTGTTATTTTGTTGTCAGTGGCCGGTGGTTGGAGTGGATGGGGATCCTGGGGGGAGTGTAGTGTCTCGTGTGGGGAGGGAGTCCACGAGAGAAGACGACTCTGTGACAACCCACCCCCGAGATACGGAGGACAACATTGTCATGGAGACAGGGTCCAGCTCAAAACCTGCTCTGTACAGCAGTGTGCAGGTACCAGTTACTGACTCATAAAGGGCAATTTTTCAATTTAAAATATTTTGTTTAAGGTTTTGTTTTTGTTTAAGTTGAAATTCAATTTCACTGAATGTTGCATCAGTACCAGTGCAAAATCAAATTTTTCTTGAGTAACTATATACATTCTTATCAGAAGTTTGTTTTTAAAGTATAAATCTATAATGAGTGACTTTTACATTATGCATGATAAAGATATAGACGATGTGTGATATGATATGATTTCAGTGGACTGTAATGTGTATGAATCTATAATGTAACTTGTAAATGATAATGATGAACTATAGATCATGTGTGACACTGATTTCAGTGGACGGTATGTGGGGACAGTGGAACCACTGGACTTCCTGCTCTCAGAGCTGTGGGGGAGGAGTAAGATCAAGGTTACGGAGGTGTGACAGTCCCGCCCCTGTCTATGGAGGATCAGCATGTTCAGGTCGGGCCGCCCAAAGAGACTACTGTAACCCTGAACCCTGCCCAGGTAGTCATTTCATTTAGAATTGTTATTAATTTGTCAGTCATATTTTTTTTGAATTTCAAAAATATTTTATTGGAAAATGAGCTGATTGGGGAAAAAAATGGCATCTCATTATTTTTAAGAAATTCTTTCTCTGCTTAGACTTCTAGTATTAATATTTTTACCTTTGAATTTTCAGTTCATGGTAACTGGGCTGGGTGGGAGAGTTGGGGAGCCTGTTCTGTGAGTTGTGGGGTAGGACTCCAGAAGAGATTTAGGACATGTTCTAACCCGGCCCCCAGTATTAATGGTCGCCCCTGTATAGGATCGGGCGAGGACAGTCAGCAGTGTAACAGACCACAGTGTCCTGGTAAGTTTATAAAGCATGGAACCTTAAGTATTGAAGAAATATTGGAATTATGGAGGAACTTATTTTGTAAAGCATTTTGCTCTTCAGTTCACTACTCTTCTTTCCTCTTTTGGATTTTGTAGTGAAAAAATACAACTTATTTGTTTAAAATGTTTAAAAAGATAAATTTTTGTCAGAGTATATATATCAGTTTCAGACAATCTTAACAGGTATAAAATTAAGTTTACCAACTATTTGGCAAACTTTGCCTTCTTTCGACAATTTTTAAAGCTTTAATGTTTTACAATAGAGAAAGCTCCACCTGGACAACTCTGTAATTTTTCTGTATATGTTTTCAGTGGATGGTGAGTGGGGTGGTTGGGGTGCCTGGTCCCCCTGCTCTCAGACCTGTGGGGCGGGGTACAGGGAGCGTCGCCGTGCGTGTCACACACCTCGGTATGGAGGTCGGTTCTGTGTAGGAGACGACATACAGAGGGATCTGTGTTCCCTTACTCCATGTTCCAGTAAGTCATGTGTGTGAATATACAAACTCCAAAGTTCTTAATATAGCCTATGATGGCAAGCGTTACCTTGTAAAACAGCATTTCAGAAAAGAGAATTTCATTCCTGAACTGGCTTAGATTATTAACTCAAGTCTATAGTATAACCCATAAAGACACACTAACATTTTGCTATTGTGAATGTCTAAAATGATGCATATTTTAAAAACTGTGAAAGAGTCACTGTAACAATATGAGTTTTTGACTGGTATTTACAGACTTGCCAACAAAGGCCTTTGGGACATTGGTAGGATACATCAATGGAGTTGACCTGACGGATTCCACCATTAATGCTGTAATGACACCAAGTGAGGATGGGCAGAATATTAAGGTGGAAGCCACCATCAAAGACTTACCTCCCTTGATGGGTAAGCCATAATATAATCTTAAAGCTGAGGTTTAAAAAGGTTCCAGCAAGGAGAGTCAACAAAATTTTTTTCAAACCTTCAAGAAAGTGTTATGGGTTGACAGAGGAATCGTTTCTGTTACAGGGAGTAATGTTCAACATCTGGTGTCCGTACTGAGTCCCATATATTGGGTGACAGCGTCAGAAAGGGGCGGGGCCAAAAACGGATTCTCCCTGACAGACGGGAAATTCTCTAAAGATGTCCAGGTAGAATATGCCACAGGTAAGACGAGATCTTGTTGAAACAGGTTTTTAAAAAAGTAGTGGTTTTATTGAATGTGACAGTTTGTTTAAAAAGAAGTATGTGAATTTTAAATTGCATGGAATGATTTGACTTAAGGTTAATTTTTTAACATTACTGAATACAGTTTAATAAATTCATGCTTATTTTCATTAATTAAAAAAAAAAATTCCAGTAGATGTTCAGTTTGTGAGTTTTTAAGATTAATTACATCAGTGCCACTGTTAATCTTTTGTAGGAGAGGTTGTAAAGATGTCGCAGTATTCTAATGGTGTAGATGAGGACGGGGTGTTACAGATAGATGTCATTGTGAGGGGGGAGGTGCCTGACCTGTCACAGGGGTCAGGGGTAGAACTAACTCCCTACTACGAAAACTACATACAAACTGGACAAGGTAAAACTAATGCTAATAATAAATTGAGATTCTTGGATTTTATTAATGTCGTTTATTTGATGGGGAAACACTTGTAAATCTTTTTTTTTTTCTATCCACTTGTTTATGCCAGAGTCATTCAAATGCTGATGCTACTTATCTCGCTTACTTTATTAACACATAGTATTTAACACGAAGAATGATAAGAACTCGAATGAAATATTACAATTAAAGTGGACATATTAATTTCATATGCTGGAGAACTCAGTCTATATTTCTTTTGTAGGGAACATATTTTCCCGATCTTTCCGCACACTTAAGGTGGATGGTCATCTTTTGCCTTATACATGGAATCATTCCATCACCTACGAGACAACAGAAATAATGCCGTACCTAGTGGAGACACTCCACACTAAGGACATAACGACGTCAGTCAACCCGACAGGGGACCAGGTCAAATTCACGCTGCTTACCAACATATCGCCAGGTATAATTACAAAATGTATTACATGTTAATTTGCTTACATACTGGAATTAATTGCTGTATGTCATTATTACTAAATAAGGAAATGTTAAGAGACCAGTGCTATCTTTGTGTTAATTGTTAAAAATTATCTGAACTGACGTTAGATGGAAGAAATATTGTGCTGACCCAAAGTTAAGTAAAATATATTGTGAATTAATGAAATCGTGACTTTTTTGATGACATTTAAATGTATGGTCATAATGATTATTGATAAACAGGAAGTCCCAGTAACCAGTGCCCTTCAGGATTTCACCTTGATAACAGTGGACAGTTCTGTCTGGGTAAGAAGAATGGGAAGATGACTTTAAAAAAAATGAAACTATAAACATTCCAGGAAAATTGCAATTTTATATTTTGCTATTGATTATTAATATTATTTGACAGCATATGATTATAAACAAATAAACTTTTATTTTAAAGAAAAGAAATTTCTGGGTTAGATTTTGATAATACCAGAGAGAGTATATATATTGGTATATTGACGTACTTGTGTTTTCCAGATGATGATGAATGTTTCCCTAACAACCCCTGCTCCCATCAGTGTCACAACTCCCCGGGGAGGTTTGCCTGCTCTTGTCCCCGGGGGTATGTTCTGGGTCCTGACGGACGGGCCTGTGAGGACGTGGACGAGTGTCGTCGGGACAACGGGGGATGTAGCAGGGGGCAGGAGTGTCTAAACACGGCAGGGTCGTACCATTGTGCTGTGATCTGTAAGGCGGGGTACAGGAGGAATCAGGACATGTTCTGTATAGGTCAGTGTCTGTAAGGCAGGATACAGGAGGAATCAGGACATGTTCTGTATAGGTCAGTGTCTGTAAGGTGGGGTACAGTAGGAATCAGGACATGTTCTGTATAGGCCAGTGTCTGTAAGGCAGGATACAGGAGGAATCAGGAAATGTTCTGTATAGGTCAGTGTCTGTTAGGGGGGATACAGGAGGAATCAGGAAATGTTCTGTATAGGTCAGTGTCCGTAAGGTGGGGTACAGGAGGAATCAGGAAATGTTCTGTATAGGTCAGTGTCTGTAAGGTGGGGTACAGGAGGAATCAGGACATGTTCTGTATAGGTCAGTGTCTGTAAGGCAGGATACAGGAGGAATCAGGACATGTTCTGTATAGGTCAGTGTCTGTAATGTGGCGTACAGGAGGAATCAGGACACGTTCTATATAGGCCAGTGTCTGTAAAGTGGGGTACAGGAGGAGTCAGAACATGTTCTGTATAGGTCAGTGTCTGTTAGGGGGGATACAGGAGGAATCAGGACATGTTCTGTATAGGTCAGTGTCTGTAAGGTGGGGTACAGGAGGAATCAGGGCATGTTCTGTATAGGTCAGTGTCTGTAAGGTGGGGTACAGGAGGAATGAGGACATGTTCTGTATAGGTCAGTGTCTGTAAGGTGGGGTACAGGAGGAATCAGGACATGAGAGTTTCTGTATCATTTTGACAAAATTTGAAGCTCCTTAATTAACAGTTTAAACAAATTGCATACAAATTAACTTCAACATATTTTCAGATTACATCACTGTCATTTTTTCACAGACATAGATGAATGTTCTGAGGATCCTTTGATCTGTGGACAGCATTGTGAGAATACAGCAGGAAGTTATCAGTGTTCATGTGATCAGGGGTTCAAGCTCAAGTCCAATGGCAGGTGTACAGGTAAACAGGAAGTTATCAGTGTTTATATGATCTGGGGTTCAAGCTCAAGTCTAATAGCAGATGTACAGGTAAACAGGAAGTTATCAGTGTTCATGTGATCAGGGGTTCAAGCTCAAGTCTAATAGCAGATGTACAGGTAAACAGGAAGTTATCAGTGTTTATGTGATCTGGGGTTCAAGCTCAAGTCTAATAGCAGATGTACAGGTAAACAGGAAGTTATCAGTGTTCATGTGATCAGGGGTTCAAGCTCAAGTCTAATGGCAGATGTACAGGTAAACAGGAAGTTATCAATTGTTATCAATCCATTACAAATATTTTGATGTTCTACAGATGTTAATGAGTGTACAGAGGGACTGTCTGCTTGTTCCCACATCTGCAGGAATCGGATCGGAAGTTACCGCTGTGCCTGTCCCTCTGGCTTCAGACTCGCCTCAAATGTCACCTGTCAAGGTAAGCATGTGACAAATTTGAATTTTTTTATGGACATTTCAGCAGTATTAATGCGCAGATTTTAAGAGGCACTTTATATATTTTTATAGAACATAGGTAAAATATGTTGGTATCATATAACTTAATTTTTAGGTTCATACTAGCTAGACTCAAACGAACTTTGTAATCAAAAGTTGTCCATTATCCTTCATTGTAATTGTGGTCTTAATCATTGTTGCCATTATAAACATTTTTATAACCCTTAGGTTAATGCATCTATTTAACCAGAAGTATTTCTTTAATAAAAAGTGTTGATCATGAGAAAAATATGAAACCTAACGTCCTTTGGGATTCGTTTTAAGATATAGATGAATGTAAGGAAGGAATCCATAGATGTACAGAGGAACAGGAATGTCAGAATATTGAGGGGAGTTACCAGTGTACTCAGAAATGTACTGAGGGGTACCAAGAGGTTAATGGGCGCTGTGTGGGTAAGGGCATTCTATAAATAGATAAGTTACCAGCATATTCAGAAATGTAGTTAGGAGTACCAGGAGGTCAACGGACACTGTGTGTGTAAGGACATTCTATAACTAGATGCTGTCATGAGACAGTAATACCCACACTAAGGTGTTTGCCTCTAAATACACGCTCCTACATATTGGGCGGCTTTCCAAAGAAATAGTCAAAATAATTCTATAATTTACATGTATTCATCAAATTGAGTATGAAATTCTCAGACCCTGTGACCAATAACTCAGAACCTCTTATATTTATTTTATACATGTTTAATTCATTATATACCAGTCTGAATTTTATTAATGATGTAAATTCATGCACGGATCTGTCGGGGGGGGGGGGTCAGGACCCCCCCCCCTGGAATTTACAAGGTTAAAAAATGTATATACTAAAACAAGGAAAAAGTTACAATGGACCCCCCCTTGGAAAATGCAGATCCCCCCCCCCCCCCTGGTAAACACGAATATGTGTAAAATAAGTATGAAAAGTTAAACATTTAATTTGCGGCAATAGAAGTCACCATTACTCCCCCCCCACCCCACCACGATATAGGTTTTTGACGTTTGGGTGAGATTTACTTTAGGTTTTTTTTTTGATTGTCAATTTCTGGGATAGGATTTTTTTTTGACTGAGGAGGACCCCCCCCCCCCCCCCCCCAGGAAAAAATTTCTGGATCCGCGTCTGAAATTAGATTTTGATATATGTTTTGCTCATAATAGGACCTTTTTAAATTTACTAACCCCCCCCCCCCCTCGACACCACAATCACACAGCACATACTTTTGGGAATAGGCTAGATGGAAAAGGTTTGTTAAAATTTAATATCGTTTGTTATGAATTAATTTAAAATTTGTTCTTGTACTATACATGTGAACATGTAAATTTCTACATCACATCACGTTGCGTCACCCATTATCATATTTATAGATTAAACACCATTTGGCACACCTCGGCCGATTCCCACTTCATCTGATAAGGTGATGGAATCGACGAAGGTTCGCCAAAATGGCACATGGCTGCAGTCTGGTGTGCATTGGATTAATTCATTTTGAGTTATAATTGGATTTATATTTCATGAAGTTGAGACACAGGGAGTCGGTAAGTAGAAGTTTTAGTATAGTGGGGGGTAAAATACACCCAAACTATTAGGTTAAAGTTTAAAAAGGGTGAAAGATCATCGCATGCCACACTAGACAAATTTCATATTGTGAAGTTATCTCCCGTTGTCGATGTGACATTCAGTTACTGCCAATACTGGTGCGGATCCAGAATTTTTTTCGGGAGTAGGGAGGGGGGTTCACATCTCAGTCAAAAAATTCCAGCCCAGAATTTCGTGACAAGCAGGAGAAAAAAATGAAAACAAATAAACAAATAAAAAAACAATGATAGTGAAGTCAATGTTTTCTAAGTTTATAGGGAGAGGATGTCAAGAGTCATTTTTTACTTGCTACAGTATATAGTCTTGTTTAAATAACAAAGCAAATGCCAGATGGGGGGGGGGGGGGGATGGGGGGATTCCAATCTTCCTACCCACTTCCTGTCCCTGAAATAACAATGTATTTTGTTATTCCAGTTAAATAGTATATTTTTTTCCATTTGACTAATTATTATACATATTTTGTTTCTTGTGTTTAGTATGTCTGTCTATAAGTCTGCAGAAATTAAATCCTAGTTAGCTTGCCCATAAGTTTTAAGTGGGATGGGCTATACAAATAGCTTCCACATTTTATAGGTTTATTTCTTGTGACAATTTAATAAGACCTTTTATTTGGGTACCATTAATTTTTACCTCTGATCGCTTGACATGGGATACACATTTTTACAAGAAAAATACCAAACTTTAAACTCTGCCTAAATTTTGATCAGTAGGTGCTAGGGCTTTCATACTTATCATGACATATTGTATTCATTGTGAACTGTCAACAGGTATAAATATGTTTGAACTTGACCCTAGAGTTTGAACCACTTAAACAAAAAAATTAACCTTGGCAATTAACTTTTGAACAGGAATTACTAGGGATTTCTTTATTTCACATGTGCATTCCTTGTGACAAGACTTTCTTCTGATACTAACAATTTGAACCCTTTGACCTTGACCTTTGATTCTGACATATATTTGAGAAACTTCAACCTTCGCCATAGGCTTCCATACTGGGACATCAGTGTTTCACAAACACATCTTATCTTCATTATTATTTGGCGGTGTCTCCATATGAGGGAAGATGTATTCACAACAAACAAACAAATCACTAAAGAAAATATAAAACATGAATATGTTGGTCATGCATATCTCTGCAGGAAAAAAAACAGCTTTTCAAATACTCCAACCATATCGTAACCCTTTCAAAACACTCATTTGAGCTTTTTTGGTTTCCCTAGCATATAATGTCTGTCGTAACGTGTTGTCCATTTGTTTGTCTGAAAACGTTTTACATTTTTAACTTCTCTAGAACCACTGGGCCAATTTTACCCAATTCATATAGAAATATGTACATTTGTATGTCAGACTCAGTCCATCTGTCTCAATAAATTTAACCTTGGTTATCACGGTTATATCTACTGAATGAGAAGAGACATTCATATTAAACTTATGTATTAGTATATATATTTACCTGTGAGAATGGCATGTTTTTTTTTTTTTTTACATGTGACCTAGAAGTTTGACCAACTTGCAAAAAAATTAAATTGTTATAAATTCATCATTTTGAAGGAGAAAAGTTAGGGCATTCATATCATAATGCATGTATATTATTACCTGTGATAAGACCTTTCCAAATAAATCATTACTTTTACACTGTGACCTTGACCTTGAAGCGATCAAGCCTAACCTACTTTTCAAAAATGTTGCATTTGCTTATAACTTTTGATTGAGATGAGATATGACTCTCACATTTGACATGTACATAAATTACTCATAAGAATTCAAGGTGTTTCCCAGCATGCGATGTTTTTTTATGCGCCCGAATTTTTTCGGGGCGCATATTGTTTTTGTCCTGTCTGTTTGTCTGTTTGTCTGTTTATCTGTTTGTCTGTTTGTCTGTTGTCAACTTTAACCTTGGCCAAAACTTTTGAACCGAAAGAGATAGAGACTTCATATTTGGTATGCATACTCCTCTAATAAAGTTCTTTCAAATGACATCAAGGTCAATGACCTTGTGACGTTGACTGTGACCTATATGCTAAAAATAGGTTTTTCAACTGTTTGTCATAACTTTTGAACCATAAGAAATAGAGACTTCATAATTAGTATGCATACTCCACTAAAAAGGTTCTTTCAAACAACACCAAGGTCAATGACCATGTGACCTTGACTGTGACCTTTATACTTAAAATAGCTTTTTCCACTTTTTGCCATAACCTTTGAACCATAGAAGATAGGGACTTCATATTTGGTATGCATACTGCACTAATTAAGTTCCTTCAAATGACATCAAGGTCAATGACCTTGTGACCTTGACTGTGACCTATATGCTAAAAATAGCTTTTTCCACTTTTTGCCATAACTTTTGAACCATAAGAGATAAGGACTTCATATTTAGTATGCATACTCCACTAATAAAGTTCTTTCAAACAACACCAAGGTCAATGACCATGTGAAGTTAACTGTGACCTTTATACTAAAAATAGCTTTTTCGAACTTTGTTGACGCCGGGAGCATAGTGTTTCACAAACACATCTTGTTACCCCTTGACGTTGATGTTTTACATAATTTTCAAAATATTTAACTCTCCTAAAAGATGATTAGGCTTCTGAGTAACATTAAGGAAGACTTCAAGGAAGACAGGGCTTTTTGCACAAAAAACGTCATTTTTCAACCCACATTTGACCCCCCGGGGCAAAATCTAAATTCCAAAACCTTACTGCACATCTACATGACCCCACCAACCATCTCCCAAAAGATGATTAGGCTGCTGAGTAAAATGTAAGAGGAGTTCAGGGAAAACAGGGCTCTTTGTATGAAAAACATTATTTTTCGACCCCCATTTGATCCCCTGGGGCAAAATCTTAATTCCGAAACCTTACTGCACATGTACATGACACCACCATCCATCTCCCAAAAGGTGATTAAGCTGCTGAGTAAAATGTAGAAGGAGTTCAGGGAAGACGGGACTTTTTGCACAAAAAACGTCATTTTTCGACCCCCATTTGATCCCCCGGGGCAAAATCTAAATTCCAAAACCTTACTGCACATCTACATGTCACCACTAATCATCCCACAAAAGATGATTAGGCTGCTAAGTTAAATGTAAGAGGAGTTCAGGGTAGATGGGGCTTTTTACATAAAAAACGTCATTTTTCGACCCCCATTTGACCCCCGGGGGCAAAATCTAAATTCCAAAACCTTACTGCACATCTACATGACCCCACCAACCATCTCCCAAAAGATGATTAGGCTGCTGAGTAAAATGTAAGAGGAGTTCAGGGAAAACAGGGCTCTTTGTATGAAAAACGTTATTTTTCGACCCCCATTTGATCCCCTGGGGCAAAATCTTAATTCCGAAACCTTACTGCACATGTACATGACACCACCAACCATCTCCCAAAAGGTGATTAAGCTGCTGAGTAAAATGTAGAAGGAGTTCAGGGAAGATGGGACTTTTTGCACAAAAAACGTCATTTTTCGACCCCCATTTGATCCCCCGGGGCAAAATCTAAATTCCAAAACCTTACTGCACATCTACATGTCACCACTAATCATCCCACAAAAGATGATTAGGCTGCTAAGTAAAATGTAAGAGGAGTTCAGGGTAGATGGGGCTTTTTACATAAAAAACGTCATTTTTCGACCCCCATTTGACCCCCCGGGGCAAAATTAAAATTCCGAAACCTTACTGCACATCTACATGACTCCACCAACCATCCCCCAAAAGGTGATTTGGCTGCTGAGTAAAATGTAGAAGGAGTTCAGGGAAGACGGGACTTTTTGAGCAAAAAACGTCATTTTTCGACCCCCATTTGACCCCCCGGGGCAAAATCAAAATTCCGAAACCTTACTGCACATCTACATGTCACCACTAATCATCCCACAAAAGATGATTAGGCTGCTAAGTAAAATGTAAGAGGAGTTCAGGGTATATGGGGCTTTTTACATAAAAAACGTCATTTTTCGACCCCCATTTGACCCCCCGGGGCAAAATTAAAATTCCGAAACCTTACTGCACATCTACATGACACCACCAACCATCCCCCAAAAGGTGATTTGGCTGCTGAGTAAAATGTAGAAGGAGTTCAGGGAAGATGAGAATTTTTGCACAAAAAAAGTCATTTTTCGACCCCCATTTGACCCCCCGGGGCAAAATCAAAATTCAGAAACTTTACTGCACATCTACATGTCACCACTAATCATCCAACAAAAGATGATTAGGCTGCTAAGTAAAATGTAAGAGGAGTTCAGGGTAGATGAGGCTTTTTACATAAAAAACGTCATTTTTCGACCCCCATTTGACCCCCCGGGGCAAAATTAAAATTCCGAAACCTTGCTGCACATCTACATGACACCACCAATCATCCCCCAAAAGGTGATTGGCTGCTGAGTAAAATGTAGAAGGAATTCAGGGAAGACTGGACTTTTTGCACAAAAAACGTCATTTTTCGACCCCCATTTGACCCCCTGGGGCAAAATCAAAATTCTGAAACCTTACTGCACATCTACATGACACCACTAATCATCCAACAAAAGATGATTAGGCTGCTAAGTAAAATGTAAGAGGAGTTCAGGGAAGATAGGGCTTTTTGCATAAAAAACGTCATTTTTTGACCCCCCGGGGAAAAATCAAAATTCCGAAACCTTACTGCACATCAACATGACACCACCAATCATCCCCCAAAATGTGATTAGGCTGCTGAGTAAAATGTAGAAGGAGTTCAGGGAAGACGGGACTTTTTGCACAAAAAACGTCATTTTTCGACCCCTATTTGACCCCCCGGGGCAAAATCAAAATTCCGAAACCTTACTGCACATCTACATGACACCACTAATCTTCCCACAAAAGATGATTAGGCTGCTAAGTAAAATGTAAGAGAAGTTCAGGGAAGATGGGGCTTTTTGCATAAAAAACGTCATTTTTCGACCCCCATTTGATCCCCCGGGGCAAAATCAAAATTCTGAAACCTTACTGCACATCTACATGACACCACCAATCATCCCCCAACAGGTGATTTGGCTGCTGAGTTAAATGTAGAAGGAGTTCAGGGAAGACGGGACTTTTTGCACAAAAAACGTCATTTTTCGACCCCCATTTGACCCCCCGGGGCAAAATCAAAATTCCGAAACCTTACTGCACATCTACATGACACCACCAACCATCTCTTAAAAGATGATTAAGCTACTGTGTAAAATGTAGGAGGAGTTCAGGGAAGAAAAGTGTGACAGACGGACGGACGGACGGACGGACGGACATGAGTAACAACAATATACCCGAACTTTCTTTAGAAAGTGCGGGTATAAATATATGTTGCCAGAAGGAGTTGATTGTAATGTGTGTAGATAGGGAATTTATACAGTGGAAGTTACAGGTTTAATTAACATTTCACTAACTAATCAAAGAATCAACAGATTAGAATGCCTTGTATAGATATGAAAGCTTATGTATATACATACATCTATATTATGTACTTTTGTTCAGATATGCTATTCTCTGTTACCAAAGTCTCACTTTGATGACTGTTTTTGTTTACAGATATAGATGAGTGTACCCTTAATACTCATCGTTGTTACTCCAATCAACAGTGTCTCAATACCCCAGGAGGATACAGCTGTCAGTGTGAGAAAGGCTACAGGTCTACAGGCATAGGACAGCCTTGTCTGGGTAAACATAATAACTAGTAGTCTTAGACGTTAGTTAATCAGAAAATTCTCTTGGAGGGTTTAGCTGTCAGTGTGAGAAAGGCTACAGGTCTACAGGCATAGGACAGCCTAGTAGTCTTAGACATCAAGTAGACTTATTTATCTGATCAGTAAATTCTCTGGGAGGACACAGCTGTCAGTGCGACAAATGCTACAGGTCTACAGGCATAGGACAGCCCTGTCTGGGTAAGTGATAAGTGAACATGGTAACTAGGATACTCATATGATAAGTGAATCTTCAGACAGCCCTGGTTAGTTTAGATTAATTTGATTGAATATATGTTAAAAGATTCAAATGACTGTCAAATGAAAACTCCTGTTAGAATTAGTTCTGTAGTTTACTATGTAATAATTAAATACTGTATAGGGGGAAAATAACTCGCGGTGTTAATTTTCGCTATATTCACGGTGTTAATAAAGCCGTGAAATTCAAGAAACAGTAAATAAATTTTCAATTATCTCCATGTCTTATTTGAAAATTTGAGAACAGACTACGACTGGTTTAAATACATGTACCACAGTACATGGTCATTTCAGTAATTACGAGTTGTACTTGTCATTCAATTATTTTAATTAGCACGCTTTACATTAATTCAAATTAACAGATAATAACCTGTATTTGTTAAAAGGTTTTTTAATAGCCAGCGCTACATGTCTCATCAATCAAAACACGTGGGCCATGAGTTTTGATTACCCTGTGCGTAACAAATGTTACCACGCACGGTGGGTATAATATTATGTTATCTGCATTATCATGCATATTATAGTTTTTATCGACATTTTTATTTTAAAAAATCATTCAAATAACTATCGAACTTACTAAAGATTTGGAAGGATATTTTTCGTCGACTTACATTAACATATTTATTACCGTCCAGTGGTTTTTCGCCGCGTTGTTTTGAAGATCTTGAGGTGTACATGCACTCATTGTAAGAGCATACAGAAAAGTCATTTGACGTTTATAGTCAAGGACTTTGATAACTGCACCTGTTTTAATTAATCGTCAATTATTTATTAAGTCGAACTATTTTATATTAACCTACTCTGTTGTTCATGAAATAAAGACATAACAATGATGAATGTCGTTTACATATAGCTATGGTTTGGATTAAACGGATATAGACAAGCAAGGTAACTTCTATAACATAAGAATTCCGCGAATTCAAGAAACCGCGATCGTGTCCGATGAGAGAAAACCGTGAAAATTACAACCCGTGAAATTAATCCCCTATACAGTAATAGCCTTGAAATATACATCAGAATGACATTTAAAAATATATCAAAGCATTAATATACAGTCCAATTATACACAATACTGCATAAAGGGAGCTAACTCTTACTCCGATTTCCCATAATCTAATACTTGCTATGAAATAAACTTGGTGCATACAGTTAAAAATACTTCTACAATAAAATACATACATAAATTACTGTTAAACCTCATATCTTCATAGAAATCAAGTACTTCTTATAAATAAACAGTAGAGTGTTAGATCATTATTAAGCCGGGATAGTAAGCGGTGTTTTGCAATTATTCAGAGGGCTATTGACATAATTGGGGACAACTTGGTTGGATAATAAGTGGTCAATAAAATTTTAACAGAACCATTCTCCTGCAGTTTGTATCTAAAAGGATAAGGTGTGAATGGATACTTAAATATTCAATGACAATTTTTTTTCCAGATATTGATGAATGTGCAGAAAATCCAAGTATATGTGTTTATCAATGTCGAAACACCCAGGGCAGTTTTGTTTGTGTTTGCCCCCCAGGGCAGATCTTACTGGCAGACAAACAGTCATGTGCTGGTACATACATTTCACAATTTTCTATATTTAAAAAAAATGTCTCGGAAACTAAAAAAAGATTAATACTTTTACAAAATCACAGTATGAAATAAGTTCAAAATAGTAAAAGGAGAATTCTGCTTGTAGGGCTAGAGTATCTGGAACCTGATCCCGTCCAGAATCTGCCAAAAAGTAGCCATGGCTACCAGAATTCAAAACCTTTAGGACAAAACCGTAGGCCTCAGAATGGCTGTGCTCATTCCAGAAAATGTTTCAGACGAAGTAGAAGATCACAATGTCTGTCAGGGTTCAGATTTAATTCAACTTCTAAAACCTGTGTAGGTATGTACCAGCACAGGACTGTAGAATCTCACAGTAAATGGTGTCTCTATGAATTGAATTATTTGTCCTTTTATATTCTTGTGAAATAAAAGGAACAGATCCATTATAACTATTAAAAACATCTCTTCAACAAATGTTTTATTAGAAGTCAGGTAAATCCATCTAATACAACAATTTCAGGTCTCCCTTCGATGTACTAGAAGTGTAAGACCACTAAAGAAAAACATGCTTGAAATATCAATGTTATGTTTTGTGTAATCCACAAGATGAAACACACCCTTTAAGTCCGGTTTAATGGTGGCTTATAGGTCCTTAGTGGTGGTTTAATGGTTGTCTTTAAGTCACCATTAAGTCACCATTAAGCACCTTTAAGTAACATTTACACCACCATTAAGTTACCATTAAGCCAACTCAAAGTCCTTAATGGGTGCTTAAATGTAGCTTAATGGTAGCTTAATGGTGGCTTACAGGTCCTTAATGGTAACTTTTAGACCACCATTAAGTCACCATTAAGCTACCATTAAGCTAGACTTACAGGTGCTTAATGTCCAAACTCCATTAAGCTACCATTAAGCTACCATTAAGCCACCATTAAGCCACATTACGCAGTCGATACTATTGTTTATATGGGTGAAAAATTATTTCTATAGTGATTTGTTATCAATATTATAAATGTAGAGTTCGCACATATCTTGATTTGGTAAAAATAATGAAAAAGAACGAAATTCAAAAATTAAAAAAAACGCCACAGACAGGGCGCGATCCCATGACCTGAGGGTTGTAAGGCGAACGCCTTATCCATTAGGCTATCGCCGCTCTTGTCAATATATGGAAAATATTAAATATTTAACCTTTATTTTTTTCAAAATTTGTTTGGACATGTAAAGGTATCTACTAGTATTTTGTTGAACATTTCCAAAAGTCTTGAATTGATTTATTAATCAAAATATAAGCAATTTTATTTGTGGATCTTTTTGAAAGGCTTATAACACATTAATATTTTTACATTGAGTTCGGCTTTTAGATTGATGTAATGTGATTGAGTTCTTCGCTCTGTTATTCGAAAATTTTGTATGTAAGCATTAAATCATGATTGAAAATAAATTAATTATAGATAAAACACAAAAATCTATCATCGAAAAAGAAAGAGGAAAAAACAGATTCTACTATTATTTTTAATATACTGCGGATTAACGGTTTCTGTGTCAACAATTTAGTGACAATCCTCGCGTAAGAGTTACCTGGTTATATTACGTTTACAAAAACTTTTTTTAGAATATCATATTCAGATTCAATTCTTTTTGTATCATAATGGGTATCAAAATAATTGACTTTTTGCGATGAATCATAATTTTTAATTTGTTATATGCTTGCGTTAAATTTAAATTTTGGAAAAATAATTAATCATGATCAAAATCTGTCAGTGTACGTTGTGTATGACTGTATAGTTTCCTGTTAGTTAACCGGGGACGGGGGGACACCTAATTAAGATCTGTTGTCTGACCAGTCGGTTTACTGTACACTGATCATCTGTTAATCTTACCCCGTTTCTCAATGTGTATACATCTGGTCGGATGTCATGTTGAATCTGATCGGCCGTTCCTCTGAAAATCGATTTTGAAATAACAATCATATTGAAGACCGACTAGATTTTGACAGATACTTACCGCTGTATTATTAAAAAAGAAATAAGGAATTAATTAAAATTATTCATGATGTAAAAGCCATTAAAAAGTTTTTCATGGTAAAAGTCAATCTTTGAAAACTAAACATTTGTATACCAGTAGCCCCCCCCCCCCAAAAAAAAAGGACAGAGTTTTTTTTTTCATGAGATTATATAGTTATATTCCTGTGAATTCTGTAGCGGAATGTTTCTTTTAACACATGAAATAAAAAAACCATTTTGTTTTTAAAAGTAATATATATTTTGTGTTCATGAATATAGATAATTTTAAGAACAAATTGATTTTTGGTATTGTAAATTTAAGATATTTCACAATGATTTGCTCACGGTGTGTAATAATTATTTATTTTTAAAAATCATATACACTAAAAATAAAAACAACGCATGTAATAATGATTTATTTAAAAAAATAATATACGGTTCTGATACAGGATGTCTTGTTTTATTATCACTGTAAATGATTTTTTTAAAAAAATTAGACACCTCGAGCAAGCCCCTGTGGCTATTAGCTAACTTTGTTCCCAGTGATCAAGTTTATGCATGTTGACAAAAAACTCGTAGAAATTATGATCGAGACAAAATTATGAGTTGGAATAGATTTTGCGTAAATGATATTAAAATAACTAAAAGTTAGTTCAAAGATTCTATATAAGATGCGTAAAAGTTTAATGAGGGTTGACCATTAAGTCACCATTAAGCTCAGCTTAATGGTGGCTTAATGGTAGCGTAATGAAGTTTGGACATTAAGCACCTGTAAGTTGCAGCTTAATGGTGGCTTAATGGTGGCTTAAAGGAATTAACTTCTTTAAGCCACCATTAAGTCACCATTAAGCTACCATTAAGCGATTGCTTAAAGGTGGTCTTTCGTCTTGTGATCCATGTGAGATTTTCCATTGTGAGAGATTTCAATGTTATGTGTTCTTTATGAGATTTTCTATTGTTACAGATATCAATGAATGCAGTGAGGATCCAGGGATTTGTCAACACAGCTGTAATAACACAATTGGAGGGTACCAGTGTGTCTGTCCCCCAGGCTATAAGTTAGGAAGAAATGGCAGGAATTGTGTGGGTAAGGCAGCTACACAATTGTATAATGCCCCCCCCCCCAACACTGCCACTACCACCACCCCCACCACCACAAAAAAGAAAAGAAAATGGAAAGAAAATTAAGTAAATTATCTTAGGTGGAAGCTATGTCATCCAAAAGCTGTAGATGTAAAAACAAAAAAAACATGACTATATAGAACTGCTTTCCCTACCTTACAGATATAATATTTTTATAGCCAGTGAAATAAATAGAATGCATGGGCAAAGATTCTGCAAAATAAAGACCTGAAGTATTTGACTATAAATCAAAGCTGTACACGACTCGTAAATAGGCAAACACCAGATTTGATATCATTATCTACAATACATCAATACCTGTCCAGGGTATACTCATCAGATTTGTTATACCTGAGTGCTTTATTGTCATGGATATCGGCGTGGAATGGCAACCCATGTTCTTGCTGGTTATCTTGCATTTCTTTCATTTTTAGGTCACCTGAATAAACTCAGGTGACCTATTGCTATCTGTTTTCATCTGTCATCGTGCGTTGTGCGTTAACATTTGAACATTTTCAGCTTCTTCTCTGCAACCACTGAACCAATTTCAACCAAATTTGGCATAAAGCATTTATGGGTGAAGGGGAACAAAAATTGTGATTTTCATGATCCCTGCCCCCCTGGGTCTTGTGAGGTGGGGCCAAAACCACTAAAATTAGTGCAATCTTTAAAAATCTTCTTTACTCCTGGACATCAAGCAGTCAAACTGTTTGCATGATTGTAATCAACAATGAGTCTTCTACTAAAATTGTGAAATTCATGGCCCTGGGGTCAGGGGTTTTAGTGCTAGGGCGGGGCTAAATAAGTAGGTAGTGAAAATGCATTATTTCTTTGAAAATCTTCTTCTCTGCTCCTGAGTATTAAATAAACCATAGTACATAGTTATGATGAGCAAGAGTGCCTTTACCAAAATTATGAATTTTATGGCCCCAGGGTCAGGGGTTCTGGTGTTAGGGCGGAGCTCTATTGATTATATAGTGAAAATACATGAATTCTCTGAAAATCTTCTTCTCTGCTCCTAGGTATTGAATAAACTTACTAAGTGCATAGTTATGATGAGCAAGAGTGCCTCTACCTAAATTGTGAATTTTATAGCCCCAGGGTCAGGGGTTCTGCTGTTATGGCGGGGCTCTATTTATTATATAGTGAAAATACATGAATTCTTTGAAAATCATCTTTTCTGCTCCTGGGTATAAAATAAACTAACTAAGTGCATAGTTATGATGAGCAAGAGTGCCTCTATAAAAATTATGAATTTTATGACCCCAGGGACAGGGGTTCTGGTGTTAGGGCAGGGCTCTATAGATTATATAGTGAAAATACATGAATTCTTTGAAAATCTTCTCCTCTGCTCCTAGGAAATAAATAAACTAACTAAGTGCATAGTTATGATGAGCAAGAGTGCTTCTACCAAAATAATGAATTTTATGGCCCCAGGGTCAGGGGTTCTGGTGTTAGGGTGGGACTGTATTGATTATATAGTGAAAATACATGAATTCTTTGAAAATCTTCTCCTCTGCTCCTAGGAAATAAATAAACTAAGTATATAGTTATGATGAGCAAGAATGCCTCTTCCACAATTGTGAATTTTATAGCCCCAGGGTCAGGGATTCTGGTGTTAGGGCGGGGCTCTATTGATTATATAGTGAAAATGCATTAAATCTTTGAAATTTTCTTCTCTGCTCCAGGGTATTAAGCAGATGAACTACCAATATAGTTATGATGGACAAGGGCCCATATCTTCCACAATTGTGAATTTCAAGGCCCCAGGGTCAGGGGTACCATAGAGGGGGTGGGGGGGTTGTACTTATATACTGAAAATGAATGAATGGTTTGAAATCTGCTCCTTGGTATTAATCAAATATCAAGGCCTAAGGGTCAGGGGTTCATGTATGGTAGGGGCACTACTGATTATTGCTGAATATTACTGATTAGTTGAAATGCATTTTGTGTTCCCTTACCCTGCATATGGGTATTAAGTATACAAACTAAGCAACTGCTAAGTGTATTGTTATGATGATCAATGGTGCCTCTTTCAAAATTGTGAATGCCATAGCATCTGGCTTAAAACATGAATCAAATTCAATCACTGGAAAGTTGTTGCATAATGCTCAGGTGACCTATAAGGCCCATGGGCCTCTTGTTTTGTTAACATTTTGTTGCAGTTATGTGTATCTGTGTTTGTTTGTATACTGCACTGACCTGTAAAACTATAATAATAATTAAGTTTCTTTGGTATCTTACTTTCCTGCCGTAGACGAAGTATTAACATTTTTATCATTACCAAGTACAAGTACACTGGTGTCAACTGATTACATGGAACAGTGTCCAAATTAGGGGACCTCAGATACAGGGAGAATCAGAACAAAAATGGCTGAAACATTCCTTTTATGAATTGTGTTAAACTTTAAACTGAAAAAATAATATTTTAACTTCATTATATTTTTGATTAAAAAAAAACGTTTATGAAGGGATCAAGATTTTTTTGTGGAAAATTAAAAAGGAAAATGTGTGTTTACAGATATTAATGAATGCATCACATCCAGTATTGACTGTGGACCAGAGAGGATGTGCTTCAACAAGAGAGGTGATGTCAGCTGTATAGATATTCCCTGTCCTGATAACTACACACGGGATCCACTTACAAAGTAAGTCATATAAATAACAAACGGGATCCACTTACAAAGTAAGTCATATAAACTACACACGGGATCCACTTACAAAGTAAGTCATCTATATAAACTACACACAGAATCCACTTACAAAGTAAGTCATCTTTATAAACTACACACAGAATCCACTTACAAAGTAAGTCATCTATATAAACTACACACAGAATCCACTTACAAAGTAAGTCATCTATATAAACTACACACGGGATCCACTTACAAAGTAAGTCATCTATATAAACTACATACAGAATCCACTTACAAAGTAAGTCATCTATATAAACTACACACGGGATCCACTTACAAAGTAAGTCATCTATATAAACTACATACAGAATCCACTTACAAAGTAAGTCATCTATATAAACTACACACAGAATCCACTTACAAAGTAAGTCATCTATATAAACTATACACGGGATCCACTTACAAAGTAAGTCATCTATATAAACTACACACGGGATCCACTTACAAAGTAAGTCATCTATATAAACTACATACAGAATCCACTTACAAAGTAAGTCATCTATATAAACTACACACAGAATCCACTTACAAAGTAAGTCATCTATATAAACTACACACAGAATCCACTTACAAAGTAAGTCATCTATATAAACTACACACGGGATCCACTTACAAAGTAAGTCATCTATATAAACTACATACAGAATCCACTTACAAAGTAAGTCATCTATATAAACTACACACAGAATCCACTTACAAAGTAAGTCATCTATATAAACTACACACAGAATCCACTTATAAAGTAAGTCATCTATATAAACTACACACAGAATCCACTTACAAAGTAAGTCATCTATATAAACTACACACGGAATCCACTTACAAAGTAAGTCATCTGTATAAACTACACACGGAATCCACTTACAAAGTAAGTCATCTATATAAACCACACACGGGATCCACTTACAAAGTAAGTCATCTATATAAACTACACACAGAATCCACTTACAAAGTAAGTCATCTATATAAACAACACACGGGATCCACTTACAAAGTAAGTCATCTATATAAACTACATACAGAATCCACTTACAAAGTAAGTCATCTATATAAACTACACACAGAATCCACTTACAAAGTAAGTCATCTATATAAACTACACACAGAATCCACTTACAAAGTAAGTCATCTATATATACTACACACAGAATCCACTTACAAAGTAAATCATCTATATAAACTACACACAGAATCCACTTACAAAGTAAATCATCTATATAAACTACACACAGAATCCACTTACAAAGTAAGTCATCTATATAAACTACACACGGGATCCACTTACAAAGTAAGTCATATAAACTACCTATGAGCCACTTAAAAAATAAGTCTGATTTGAACTACCGGAGGGAATCCACTTACAAAGTAATTTGTTGGAAAAATTAAATATAGTATCCATTTATAAATTAGTAAGTTATCTGAAAACTTACATTGTATAACTTATAAAGTGAGTTACTATTTAAAAATAGGTATATGTACTTTGTTCCATTTATGATGTCTTTCACTCATCAAAAATAGTAAATTCAGGACAAAATTACAAAGTTAGTTTCTCATTTTGGATAAGTATTCAACATCTTCTTTGAAGTATTAAGTTGCTAATAAATTATAAAGAAAGTTACTTAGTTGCCTAAAACAACTTCATAGAGGAGCAACTTACAAAGTAAGTCACGTGTCCTTGATAACATGGTGAACTAGCTGACTTCTGTATGAAGAGTTGTGTCCCCTGTTTTCAGATACTGCGTGTTGGAGTGCGTGGATTCTTCTCTATGTCCAGAGGGCGCTAAGTATGCTGATGTCATTGAGTTCCGAACTCTGGCTCTCCCTAGTGGAATTTTACCTCAGCAGGATTTAATTAGACTCACTGTGTTGAATCAGAATAATGTTAAAATGACTAAGAATGACTTCATCATACTGGAGAATGACCCTAAAGTGAATTTCCAGTTGAGGCTCCACGAGGGGTCAGGGATTCTGTTCACAGAGCAACCCCTAGAAGAGCTAGAGACGTATAAAATCAAAGTGAGAGCCAAATCTTATAATGCTGTAACAGGGGTCTTACAGTATCAAACTACATTTATGATTCATATATCAATTTCAGCATACCCATATTGATTATAGACTGTGTACCTGTTTGATTTTATATTAATTTTTTATAGTTGATGATTTCATTTTGATAATGAATGATAATTTTTTGTATTTTTTTTTTGGTGGGGGGGGGGTCATTAAGTGTAAATGGCATTTGTCTTTTCTACTTTATGTGTGTGTGTGCAATAAATATAGTAATAATTGATGTGTACCACTATTTTTTTTTCTTTGTGCCATTCTTTGTACATCTCCTGACATATATGTAAATAGCTTGAAAACCAATGAAACAGGTACTAACTTATACTAGGACAAATAATCATGTTACTGATTTATATATACAGATCAATTGTTATATTTTAATGATCTGTCTTGACACTTGTGTATGACGATTTCTCAATTAATTGTTTTAAACCTCATTCTAGTATGTTGAACATGTTCAGAAAATATACTGTAAACAAAAGAGTGTTAATTGACTGTTTGTTTACCCTTCAGAAAACTGAGAGAGCTCATTTTTTTTTTAAATTTAATAATGAACTTGATTTCAATTTTATTTTTAAAAGTTTTCTTTTTGCCATGTAAATAGACTTTTAAAATGTTTCAAATCAGACTTCATTTTCCATTGAATTATTATATACCTAATGTGTATCACTCAATTTTACTGTTGATTTTACGCAATTACGTGACGTTTTGATCCGACTTTCCGGATCATCAACTCGACGTGATACGACCCTTCGGATCAAGTAACTGTTTTAATAATATATATTTATCATCCAAACTAACAGTAAGAGTGAGTTTTAAGAGCTGATAATGAATGAACTGTTACCTGTGCTCTGTTTTATGGATATCAATTCCATTGTGATCATTTTAAGTTGCTGAGTACTTTGAAGGCATGTTGACTCAAAGGAATTTAAAATACAAAGTAGAGATGATCAGTTTGTGGAAGTGTCAGTAATTTGTAATAAATTCTCTCCCACATTATGTGTACATATTCTAGTTTGTTTTGAAGATGACGGAATCGGCTGAGGTTTGCCGAATGCCTGTGTGACAACTGAACTATTTTTGTGTCCTTATTTGGTTGTCATAGGACGAGAAGGAGAAAGAGACTAGGGAAAGATCTGTATAAAGAGTGCATACACCAGTACCGGGTCTGCTGCAGACTGCCTCTAGGATAAAGTCTCGGAATATTCACATTTTTACATTTTAATGACCTTACTTTTAAATTGTAATGATCTGAGTTTAGGTATCTCTGAAAGGAGTAATTTTGATTGACCCAATCTTGTGAAAATTATGTTTATGTTAGTTTTCAAACATTTTGAAATACTACATATAAGTGGAAATTTTAGCGAGACACAAATTTAGCGATTTTTCCTTAAAATTAGGTAATTTATTTTTAGCGAGATGTTACTTTAGCGATTTTAAAATGCACATTAAAGAAGCTATTACAAATAAACCATAATTAATTTTTAGCAATATTCAATTTTAGCGATCTCGGCAGTCTCGCTAATAATGCCAAAATTAAATCCTCGCTAAAAATTCTACTTATACGGTACTGACCATTTTCAAGCTGAAGCGGAATATCAAGCCGATAACAAATAGTTATCGAACTCAAGAGTCCATTTAATTAATACAATTTGGGAACAAACATGACCTGTAAAAATCTTTGTGATAAATGTTATGTACAATTAACTTTCCTTATCTATATAGCAGTATACCAATATCAACTGCATACATGTATAAAGTTCATCTTTCCCAAGTGATTTAAGTTGAGTATTTGCTCTGCTCCGATTTTGTTTCATGGATTACTTTAGAACAAACATTTGACCTATTGCTATCTGTTTTTGTCCATAGTTCTGCGTTAACATTTGAACATTTTCAGCATCTTCTCTGCAACCACTCAACCAGTTTCAACCAAAGAGCCATAGCGCATTTGATAGTCACTTTCGCCTACTCTAGTAATGATTTTTTAGCTCACCTGAGCCGAAATTTTGCTCAATGTTAGCTTTTTCCTGAAATCAAAATTTGTCCATTGTCTGTCCCTCGTTGTCGTTGTTGTCGTTGTCGTCGTAAACTTTTCACATTTTCATCAACTTCTGAATAATTTTATTGGATATGCCACTTTATTACATTGGCACATAATTTTGGGTAAAGGTGGATTCATATTGAAAATAGGTATTTAATTTTTCTTCTCAAAATTATTTTGAGATTAGTGAAAAATTAATAAATTTTTAAAAAATGACTTCATGGCGTAGTGGTATAATTGCTGGATAGGAAAAATGATCTGATGTGGAATCTTCCTCAGGTAGTGTAGATTCAAGTTTGTTCTATTTTCATGACAACTGAGTCACTCAGGTGACCAAAATGTTTTCGTCCGTCGTCGTGCGTTTTACATGTGTTAACATATATGAACATTTTCAGCTTCTTCTCTGAAACCATTGAACCAATTTCAACCAAATTTTGAAATTATCTATGGTAAGTGGAGATTCAAAAATTGTTGAATTTTGTGGTCCCTGCCCCCCTGGGGCCTAGGGTGGGGCCAAAACCACTAAAATTAATGAAATATATAAAAATCTCTTCTTTAAATCCTGGACATCAAGCAGGCAAACTGTTAATAGATGTAATGTCTATGAGTCTCACCAAAATGTGGAATCATCCCCAGGGTCAGGGGTTCTAGTGCTAGGGTGGGGCTATGTAGTTTGTGAAAATGCATTATTTCTTTGAAAATCTTCTTCTCTGCTCCTGGGGTATTAAATAAACTAACTAAGTACTTAGTTATGATAGAAATAGTGCCTCTTCCAAAATTGTGAATTTTAAATCTTCTTGTTAGGAACCATTGATGATATAGTGAAAATGCATGAATTCTTTGAAAATCTTCTCCTCTGCCCCAGGCCATTAAATAAACTAAGTAAGTACATAGTTATGATAAGTAAGAGTGCCTCTTCCAAAATTGTGAATTTTATAGCCCCAGGGTCAGGGGTTGTGGTGTTAGGGCTGGGCTCTATTGATTATATAGTGAAAATGCATTACATTCTTAAAATCTTCTTTTCAAGTACTTCAAAGCCTTATGATTAGTTATATTTTTGCTATTCAAATTGTGAATCATCCCCAGGGTCAGTGGGTTCTGGTGTTAGGGCTTTGTTCATGATATAGTGAAAATGCATTATTTCTTTGAAAATCTTCTTCTCTGCTCCTGGGTATTAAATAAACTAACTAAGTACATAGTTATTGAGCAAGGGCCTCTGTGCCTCTTTCAAAATTTTGAATTTCATGGCCCCTGTGCTAGAGGTTTTGCCATTTGGTGTAAAGGGGAGGGGGCCTCTTGTTATATATAAAATACATTAATTCTTTGAAAATCTTTTCCTTTGCTCCTGGGTATTATAATTTATATATATTTATGATATGACTGCAAAATTTAATTTCATTTAGATAATTTTGTTTATAGGTGGTCTTCATATTGAAAATAAATTAATGCTTTGAAATTTCTTTGGTATTAATCAATTATTTATGATGAAATAAAATTTGTGATAACATTTATTCAAAACTTTACAATGACTTCATGGGTAGTGGTATAATTGCTGTGCACAACTGGTTATAAATGAAGTGCATTTTCTCTTTGTTACTCTGATCTACCTCTGGGTATTAAGTAAATAGCGTAAGCATGCCAAGTTTATAATTATGATAAGCAATGGTGCCTCTTTCAAAATTGTGAATTTCATGGCCTCTGGTTTAAAACACAAATCAATTGTTGGAAAGTTGTTACACTCAGGTGACCTATAAGGCCCGTTTTCCTCTTGTTTCGTCTCTGTCTTTTCCTGTGTTAACATTTGAACATTTTTTACATGTATTCTGTAAACATATAACCAATTTAACCAAATTTTGTATACAGCATTATGGGAGAGAGGGGAACAAAAATTTTGAATTTTGTGGTCCCTGCCCCCCTGGGGCCTGAGGGGCGGGGCCAAAACCACTAAAATTAATGAAATCTTTAAAAATCTTCTTCTTTACTCCTGGACATCAAGCAGGCAAACTGTTAGCATAGATGTAATGTCTATTGAGTCCTCTACCAAAATTGTGAAATTCATGGCCCCAGGGTCAAAGGGGTTCTAGTGCTAGGGTGGGGCTATGTAGATAAAATAGTGAAAATGCATTATTTCTTTGAAAATCTTCTTCTCTGCTCCTGGGTATTAAATAAACTAACTAAGTACTTAGTTATGATGAGCAAGAGTGCCTCTTCCAAAATTGTGAATTTTATGGCCCCAGGATCAGGGGGTTCTGGTGTTAGGACGGGGCCCTATTGATGATATAGTGAAAATGCAATAATTCTTTGAAAATCTTCTCCTCTGCCCCAGGCCATTAAATAAACTAAGTAAGTACATAGTTATGATAAGTAAGAGTTTTCTTCCAAAATTGTGAATTTTAAAGCCCCAGGGTCAGGGGTTGTGGTGTTAGGGCTGGGCTCTATTGATTATATAGTGAAAATGCATTAATTCTTTGAAAATCTTCTCCTCTGCCCCTGGGTATTAAATAAACTTACTAAGTACGTAGTTATGCTTAGTAAGAGTGCCTCTTCCCAAATTGTGAATTTTATGGCCCCAGGGTCAGGGGTTCTGGTGTTAGGGCGGGGCTCTATTGATGATATAGTGAAAATGCATTATTTCTTCAAAAATCTTCTCCCCTGGGTATTAAATAAACTAACTAAGTACATAGTTATGATGAGCAAGAGTGCCTCTTTCAAAATTTTGAATTTCATGGCCCCTGTATTAGAGGTTTTGCCATTTGGTGTAAAGGGGAGGGGGTCTTTTGATTATATAGTAAAATACATTAATTCTTTGAAAATCTTTTCCTTTGCTCCTGGGTATTATGCTAATGATCCAAGTATATATATTTATGATGAAGAAAGGTGCATCTAGCAAAATGGTTAATTTCATGCCCCCTGGGTCAGAACAATTTATTGGGGGGTTTTTATCTGAAAATAAATTAATGCTTTGAAATCTGCTCTTTAATGTTAATCATACCATTTATGATGAAATAAAATTTGTGATAACATTTCCAAAACTTTGAAATATGTTGCTCCAGGGTCAGTGGTTCCTTTGGGGTGCACAACTGGTTATAAAGTGGAAGTGCATTTTCTTTTTGTTACTCTGATCTACCTCTGGGTATTAAATAAATAGCATAAGCATGCCAAGTTTATAATTATGATAAGCAATGGTGCCTCTTTCAAAATTGTGAATTTCATGGCCTCTGGTTTAAAACACAAATCAATTGTTGGAAAGTTGTTACATGATACTCAGGTGACCTATAAGGCCCGTTGGCCTCTTGTTTCTATCTCTGTGCATTTTCCTCTGTTTTCTTTTATCATTTTTTACATGTATAAATAATGTAAGAGATATATAATATAACATTCAGGTGCGAAGTGCAGGAATTGAATTTCAGAGGGCGCCAAAAATAGTTTTAGGGGGTTTGGGGCCCCTTGAGGCCCCCAGTGGGTCCAGGGCAAAGCGGTGGGGGCCATTAAAATTGAAAAGCCCCTGGAAGCTCCTGGGTTCTAGAGTTTTGTAGGGTAAAAAAGAGGTCTGCTATGTAGACATATTTACATTTTCTAGGCAAAACTGATTTACGCTAACTTTGATAATTTTAGAGGTGGGGGCGTTTTAGGCCCCCATTCAATCCGCCACTGACATTACACCTTGAAAGTATCTCGGGAAAAACAGTATAAACTATTTTAATGTCCCAAAGTCAAAGCTGCTAGCTTGTTTTATTTTTAAAATCTTCTAAAAATCTTGTTTAGAATAAGATTATTGAATAAGTAAAATGATTATCATGTAACAAACTTGCAACTATGAAAATATAACACTGGTCCACATATGATTACATATATGTAGTTTGATTTTGAATTTAAAAGGTACATTTATCTATAAATAAAAACAGGTGATTTCCTTTTAAATATTTGAGTCGGCCATGTTGGTAAGGCAGCTATGGCT